CTCTGCCTCTCTCTTTCTCTGTATGACTATCATAAATAATAATAATAATAATAATAATAATAATAATAATAAAAGAAGATATAAGTTAAAAGTGGGTTGTAGAAATACAGCTTTTACTGGGTAGCTTCGGTGAAAAGAGTCCTTAGAGACGACAGAAAGCTTAATCTCCTAGTGGGCATGTCCAGCTGGTTGCCTGGACCCCCTCTTTGCAGTCGCTTGCACACCCAGCCCCCTCCCATCCACCTTGCTTCACCGGCGAGGCGTGTTTCTGTCCCGTACCCTAAGATCACCTGTAGGGTCTTAAAATCCTCCAGGCCCAGACTGCACACCAAACTGATTAAATGTGAATCCTGGGCTGGAGGTGGGGGCAAGGGGGGCAAGGGAGAGGGAGGTCAATAGACAGTACTTTTCAAGGTCTGCAGGCGATTTCACCGAGCAGGTTGGAGGAGCGCTGGCCTGATGCAGGCCCCGGCTGCCTTCCCGCCAGCTTTGGTGGCTCAGACGGGCTCTTCCACCCAGGCCGGGCCGCTCGAGTATCTCCCTCGGGATTCTGGAGCCGAGGATGAGGGACAGCCTAGGGCATTGTTGGAGAACTGCTGCGGGCACCAGCTGAGCGGGCTCACCTCGCTCCCTGTCCGGTGGCGGTGGCGGTGCCGGTGCCAGGCGTCTCTGCGGGCCACGTCCCCGGCACGCCCCATGCACCCAGCCCAGACCGGCTGGCGGGGGGGTGGCCCTGGGCCCGAGACTCCCTCCGCATCTCTTGCCTCTCCGCGTGCCCCATCCCGCACGCACCCACCTTTCCCTCCACGGGGGAGTCTCCCGATTAACCTGCCGCCTGCGCGGAGTCTGCCAGGACTTCCAAGCTGCGGTCCTTGCTGCCGGCGTCTGCCCGTGGCCCTGGAGGCCCAAAGCCCCAAGAGCGAGCTATCAGCAGGCCTCAGCTCTGCTCGGGCCTCTCCGTGGCTGCAGATCGCGCTCTCCTCTTGCTGTTCGTCTGTGTGCGCACAACCCAGGTGTGTCTCCCTCTTGCAAGGACAGTAGTTGTACTGGATGAGGGCCCCCACTCTTGTGACCTCACTTAACCTTTATTACCTCCTCAGATGCCCTATCTCCAAATACAGTCACATTAGGGTTTGGGGCTTTAACATGTGAATTTTGTGGACATGCAACTCAGTTCCTAACACCCATCTAAGACCCTCTTGATATCTGCTTGAAGCTTCCAAACTAATGCACTGCACAAAGAGAAAAGGGGCTTTTTTAGACAAATAATAAGGCCTACATCAGTAAAGATGTTCACACAGAGCCTGAAAGATCACTTCTCTGATACCATTTGGTCCTACTGATTTGGCTTCTAAATTCCAGACCCATGTACCTTTTTTTTTGTTTGTTTGGTTTGAACATGAACAGTAAAAAAGTAACCTAAAATCTGGAATTCCAAGGTAAAAGCTGATTTAAATTAAGCCATGATATGCAAAGAGCCACAGAAGATACTCCTGCTGTCCGGGTTGGACCTCTACAGTTCCTTTCTTCTCCATGACCATATTTGTACATAGGTGCAAGGGCATCCACTTCTGTAGCCCAATCACCCAGAGCAAACTTTGGCATATTGTATGTGTTCCGCAAATATTTGCTGAATGAATGAATTTATTATGGCTTCCAAACACCTCCATAGTCACTGCATCTAGTCGGTGCTCAGATTCTATATGTTAAAAAGAATTGAATCGGAGCATTATAACAATAATGATGAGAACAAGAGGTCAGAGGCTAGCGATTTTCCTGATTTTTCTCCCGTCACTGCCCACCCTGGAAAGTTCAGCCCAGAAGATGGAAGGTACTGAGATACCCGGGAAGCTTTCCCCCAGTGATGTGCACTTACATGGCCTTCGAACGCTCCCCCCTGCCCCCCTTCCAGGGACAATCTGATTACCAGGAAAACTTGAGGTAGTATGCCAGTAGCTTCCAAGGAATCAGGGCCCGTGAGGCTTAGTCTTCCATCCTACAGAGGGCAGAAGGAATCGAGATGGAAGGAAGGAAAGGCAGGAGTGAGGAAGACATCCCTGCTTTCTTGGAGGGAGCCCTATGACCAGATGCCATGCCCCGTGCACAGAGCTCTTGTGAAGCTAGACTGACCTGATGAGTGAAATAGCAGTTATTGCTTATCAGGTATACAGATCCCTTGGTCTTTTCAGGCATTCCTAGAGTATTTGAAACAACAGAGGGTAAAGTATGCAAGCAGGGGGAGTGAGGGTCCAGCTCAAAGTGGCCTGGCATGAGAAAAATTTCTTTGAAAGCTCCTATTTTTAGCTTCATATCCATTCACCAAAGTCTTTCAAGAGAAAGAGGTTCAACAGCAAGTTTTGTACTTTGGGGAGATTCTGGGAAAATGTGGTGTTTGAAAAAAAAAATCCCCAGTACTTAAAATTTCCAGACTAATTGTTCTACGTATTCTAGGGGCTATAACAAAGACAGGAATGTTAGGAACAGAGTAGCCCCTCCAAGGAGGCAGGGAGCACGTACCAAGGAGGTTGCTGCATCACCCCAATGATCGATTCTGCCAGAGGGTGTAAGTCAGGCAAGTTTCTTCTTTCATGGAATATGATAGATATGATACTCTCCCTAACTCGGGAGTTTTCATGAACTTGTCGTTTTGGGTGCTACTGGATTTGCCGTCTACACTCCCAGGCGTTGCACTTTTATATAACTAGGCCACTATTAATGCGCCAGCCATAGCCTGTGATGCTCGGATGTTCCTATGACAGTAGGCTTGGAAATGGTCACTATTCTAGCATCAACCTCACACCATGTTGAAGGGAGCCCTCCCTCCTCTGCATTTGATGTACACTGGCTAAGCCCCCAATTTCAAAGAGGTAGGAAATAAAGGCAAGAAAAATGCCAGTGGTGGTGGTTGCAAGCCTTTCCAGCCATTTCTGGTAGAATGTTACACGATCATCCTCATGAATTCCTCTAGGAGATTCTTTGATGATTGGTTTCAGGGACACTCCGGGAAATACACTCCTTGGCAGCTACCTGGCCGGGAGCTCCACCTCCGGGGCGTGGAGCATCATCCCCCACACCAAGCTTTAAGGTTGCCATCCTCACTTTGGATAAACTAGCGGTGTCCCCTATGCCTCTTCTTGCCTTATTGTATATTTACTTCTGTATCCCTTTCTTTCTTTTTCCCTTTTAATTATTACTATGCTTTTCTCATTCCTGCTTTCTCTTCACAGACATACTCTTCTTGTTATTTCTGGGTCTGCCTCTTTCTTGTTTTACCTCTGGCACTCTTCCCCTCTTTCTTTCCATTTATATTTGGTCCTTCTGTTGATCTTTCTCTACCTATTTGCTTTTTTTCTATGATCATCTAATTTTTTTGTTTCTCACTCTTTCTTCTTTTTCCTGTTAAATTTCTTTTCTTAAAAATTTCGATCTCTTGGGATCCCTGGGTGGCGCAGTGGTTTGGCGCCTGCCTTTGGCCCAGGGCGCGATCCTGGAGACCCGGGATCGAATCCCACATCGGGCTCCCGGTGCATAGAGCCTGCTTCTCCCTCTGCCTGTGTCTCTGCCTCTCTCTGTGACTATCATAAATAAATAAAAATTTAAAAAAAAAAATTTCGATCTCTACTTCATTATCTCAGTACAGATACTTCTTTCTAGGTGTATCTCGTGTCACTACTAATGTCACCTACTCCTACATAAGTGTCTACAAGAAAGTGGCTATTTCTTTTTGTATTTTTTCTCTCTCTCTTATCCTCTTTACCCTGTATCTTTCTTTTGCTTCTTCTTTTTCCTTTTCTTATTTTCTATTTTATCAAAACTTTTTTTATATATATTTTATTTATGTATTCATGAGAGACACAGAGAGAGGCAGAGACACAGGCAGAGGGAGAAGTAGGCTCCATGCAGGGAGCCCGGTGTGGGACTCGATCCCAGGACCCCGGGGTCACAACCTGAGCTGAAGGCAGACGCTTAACCGCTGAGCCACCCAGGCGTCCCTATTTTACCAAATCTTTCACTGAGTCCGTTTTCATCTTTCTCATTTGCTTTTTTCTTTGTTGCCCTTTTCTCTCCTCCTGGTTTTGTTCACACAGGCTCACTTATACCTGTGTCTCTCCCTTTCTCCCATCTCTGCTTTTCACTCATTTTTAACATTCTATCTATCCTTCTGTACGTGTGTGTGTATGTGTCAACTCACATGCACCTGGGAGACAAAAGGATGTTTTTCCATCTGAAGACTAGTCACAGAATGAGATTTAAAGTCTACCATTTGAAACTTTAGCAGGAAAGAGGAATTCTCTTCTTCCACAGCAAAAGACCGATTGTCAGATGTTCTCTGGGAAGGCCTGAAGCCTCGTATAGCAAGTAGCCCATTTGCAAGATCATTGTCAGCTGATTCGTGTTTGTAAGAAACACCTCCTGCCCCACACCTTCTAAGCCATATGTATACATGCACCTCAAAGAGAGAGAAAATTTACAAATGGGTCTCTGGAGCCTTTCTGAAGATCACTGCATGTTGGAAGTTTTCTGTTTCTGATGGAAAACGTGGAATTGATCCCTATAGTTGTCTTTGTATCTGGGCATAATTAAACAAGAATCACAAAACTCTTCCCCAAAGAAAATTCACTTCTCCCTCCCTTCCTTTCTTTTTTCCCTTTTCATATGCTTTCAGGTTTTCTACTTCTTTGCTTTTGTACTCCAATGTAATTGTCAACGGCTGCTTGCTGAAATTCATCACTCATAGTACCTGGTGGTAAATTGGGAGAAAGGTTACATCCAGGAAGATGAGCTAGCACAATTTCTAGCACATGTCGAACGCTCAATACATGTTACCTTTGCTTTTCTTCCCTTTCTGAGCTCCAGTCTACAAGTCAACTACAGCTACTGATTAAATATTTGACCTTTATACCTTCCAACTAAAGAGCTACTGTGCTGCATGATTTACATGTTTGTCATATAATTTTATGTTCTATTCAAAGAGTTGATGGAATATAGATACTCACATATTTTTTTACAATACACTGTAATTTATTATGTTTTACATGATATAAAATATCTATAAGTAGAAAAAAAAGTTTATTTCCTAAAACTTTTAATGAAACATCCGATACATACCTAAAGTGACTGGTAGGTGTGGGAGTGAAAAAACTGTCACCTGGAATGCATTGCCAACAAGTAGGTGGCACTCTCACCTCCTTACTCCAAAGACACTATATCAACTCTGTCCTGTCCTAGCTTTCCGAATTCTTTTGGTCTCTCAACAATCACATCTGGCAACTTGCTCTGATAATTAAAGTTGGATTCAAGGAAAACTATGAACTTCTACATTATTCATTCTCTCTGCCATTCTTTCCATATTAGGTCCTGCCTTTTCTAATCTAGATCTTGTGACTCACAGCCAAACTTAAGGACTATGCCCACCCAAGATTTCAACATCCATCCCAATACAGTCTAGTATCTCATGCTCATAAAATCCAATTACTTAACCAGCAAGATTCATGTGCTTCCATGAAAATTTGTCCCACTTGGTTTCTATGGAGGAAAGCTACTGGTTCAAATGTGAAGCTAAGTTTAAGTCCCCATGAGGAACTGTTTTTGGAGTAAAGCTTCAAAGCCTTCCACTCAATCCGTACGTAATAGGTCACTGTCTCACCTTCTGCCCTCATTAGGGAAAAACACAAATAAGTAAAATAGGATCTGCTATGATCAATAGTATTTAGTCACATGCACTTTTGTTTGAGTTTACTTCCCTTGCCTTCCAAAAAACAGAGATATTTCAGCACTAGCTCATGGTGACAAAATTAAATTTTACTTTTACAAACATAAAAATGAAGAAATGTCATTTGTAGCAAAAATTCAAATTAGAAATGTTTGTGTATTCCATTATTTAATTTCTAGGCAGCAATAGAGGTAAGAATTTTTTTAATGTGATTTGTATCACAAGAGGATCTTGTTCTTCTTGAAAAAGGACCTTTTTAAAATTCCAGGAAAGTCAAAGTACCATAAAATAATCAAAGTCTGCACATTGCAGGGAAAACCCTTCTGCTATTATTGAAACATAAGTATAATTACGCACAGGAAACATATATTATCAGCACAGGAAAGAAGCCTTAAGAATTCTTTGTGCTTTTCAAAACTGATGGACACGAGTGAGCTCTAATATCATTATGCTTAGAAATGGCTTCATCCAGATCCAGCTGAACACCATTAATGTTCACTTCCATACAGCCATTGTAAAAGACATTCACTGGTGTGGCACCGAATGGAATATCTGCAAAAACAGAATATTAAAATATTAGCCCAAGACTTTTGGCATCTTATTTGCTTACAATTAGAGGAACTATCCAGACTTCCCATTTCCAACCAAATTCTAATCATAAAAGAAAAATTAGTAATGTAACTATTCAATAAGTTTATATTAAGTGACTCCTATATATATAAGGTATTCATTCTGCTTGGCACTGGATTCAGCATATCACGAGTTCCTCTGATTTCACAAACACAGGCTCTTTCAAACCTAAGATAAATAAACACACTTTAAAAAGAGTATAAAGGAGAATATTTTTACCTTTGATGTTCTATTTTATTGTTTTCTTTTTAAATTTGAGCAACAGTTTAAGTGTTGTTAAATCATTTTTTCGACTCCAAACTATAGCTGCTTGGAAATCTTTTGAAAATGCCATGATAAATATATCTCTTTTATTACTTTTATTACTAGCTCTTTTTAAAATGTCATGATAAATGTATCTCTTTTATTACTGTTGGAATAAAAGTATATTTTCCCAAATATAGCTTCTTGCTGAGCATACAATGACAGGTCATATTAGGAAATTCACTTTATGCACTGTTCAGTGTTCTAAAAAATAATTTTAATAATGCTTCAGTGACAAGTTTAGGGCCTTTGGGTCTTTCGGCACTTAGGCTTTCCTCATTCAACTTAATACTTGAGTAACACCCTTGAATTCCTAAGAACTATGGTTCATCTGAATAGCATCCATCTCTCTACTTGCTTCTCTTTTTTGGCATCTCCTCCCTATGAATTTCATTTCCAATGGGCATTTTTCAGCCTTTATTCTCCTTCCTTAGTACCTTATGCAAAAAACATACAGATCAGATTTTCTACCCTTAATCTGGCAATACAGTGAATAAAGTCCACACTTTTCCAGGGGCTCACAGCCATTCTTTATGAATCCCTTTCAAGTCTGGCTGAGCATCAAAGATTATGCCACTATTATAGCAATTGCCATTGCTATATCTATTCATATCAGAATTGCCCATTTCCCCTGGTTTTTGATTCATAACATGCAATTGAACATGCCTATTTTGCGTATCAACTGGTAACTAACCTATCGCACTGTTTACACTCCTAATATCTCAATTGTCTGTTCTCAATTTTCCTCACTTTTTCTCTAAACACATCTTGCCTCAAGTCAATCTTCAGTGCTGGTGCCACAGTCCCGGAACCATTGAAAGTTGATAGTTTTACTTCTTTTGAACTCTTTGATTGTTTGTCTGATTTACTAAAATTGCATGCAACATCTCCGATCTAATCACTGCGCACCATCTTCCTGCCATCATCCTAGTCCAGCAGCTTCCTCGTCTGTCACATGGGGATAATAATAGCACCTGCCTCAAAGGTCTATTTTGAAAATTAAGTAAGTTGATCCCTCTGAAGTGCTTTGAACGCTGCCCAGGCTGCTTATCATGCACCATTGACGATAGTGTAGTTGTTGCTTCTGTTATTGTTACTGCTTCTCCACCTGGACTCCTTCAGTCACCCCTGGCTCATCTCATCCACTTTTGCATCCCAGATGTCCATCTCTGTCCATCATGCTCAGTGGGTTTTTAAAATTATATTAAAAAGCCATTTCCTTGTCTAAAATTTTTTAAAGAGTCTCATGGCTCTGATAATAAGACTTGGGACACTGAACCAGATCTACAGCACCCCCCACCCACACACTCAGTTCACAGCTTCATCCTGCACCACCATCCCCTTTGCTCAATATGTCTTCACCACATTTATCTTCTGTATATTTTTCAAGTGAATCAACCCCCCATTTTTGCCCACACATAGACATTTTAATTGCATATTAATTCCAATTCCTACCCCACTGCCTGGTTAAATTTTGTCCTTCAATTTATCATATTTATTAGCCTTTTCTTCAGAGAGCTCATTCCTGGCCCCCATGAGCAGGCCAAGTCCCCGTTTTAAGACTCTACAAGCAATCCATATTTTTGCTTCATAGAAGTTATCACAATTTAATTATTCTGATACTTTCCTAATTGGTTATCGGATGTCTGCCTCTCTACTAGATTATAAAAGGCTTAGCAGCAGGGATCATATCTGTTTATGACTGTATCCCTACTACCTGGGATGTAGGTTCTTAATAAATAAAAGGCAAATGATGGGTGAAGAATAAATATTGAACTCACAAGATTACTGTGAGGATGAACTGAAATAATAAACACTTCTAACCAGGAGAGTCAGATGCAACAAAACTTGGTTAGTTTTAGTTCACCATTAAAAAAATAAATAAACCAAATGTACTAATAAAATGTCAATATAAATCCCCAGGAAAAGAATAATGGATACTGGAATTTTGTCCTCCCATCTAAGGACAAAGAATTTTGTCCTTTTACTAAGATTACATATTTAAAATACTATTAATTTGACTTAAAAGATACTTTTTAAAACTTTTTAATTTTGGAAAAAAAAAAAAAAAAAAAAAGAAGAAGAAGATACCTGGAAGGCCACCCAGGTAAGTGGTCACTGTTCCTTTCATTGCTTTGTCCAAACTGGCAAATTGTTGTGGAAGGTCTTCAGAGGAGATGGTATCTTTTTTAAGTGGAGTTGACAGCTCCAGATTGTTTCTGTTGACTTTTAATTCCAGATGGACTTGTTGATTGGAACACAGATTGACAGCCTCTATCCGAGATATTACAATATTTTCAACAGACACTAGGATATCCTGAAAAACAGAGCAAAGATTCAAGATAAGCAAGTATAAATGGTAATGCCACTTAAGAGTGACTTTTGAGGGCAGCCTGGGTGGCTCAGCAGTTTAGCGCCACCTTCAGCCCAGGGCCTGATCCTGGAGACCTGGGATCGAGTCCCATGTCGGGCTCCCTGCATGGAGCCTGCTTCTCCCTCTGCCTGTGTCTCTGCCTCTCTCTTTCTCTCTCTCTCTGTGTGTGTGTGTGTCTCATGGATAAATAAATAAAATCTTTAAAAAAGAAAAAAAAAAGAGTGACTTTTGAGTTTTTAAAATCAAAATCTGAATTTCGATGAGGGAAAAAAAATGTATGTTAGAGCTTCCCAGTTTAAATTTCAAAAAACAATTGTTACAATAATCATATTTTTAAAAATACATGAGTTTTACAAATTACAGGTTCAGCTAAGACATAAACGGGTAGTGGCTTCTGCAAATTCAATACACCAAGAAATTGTTTTTACCAAAGATGGGAACCTAAAGTAGAGTCTTAAGCAATATTTTTCTGCTTGTGAGCCTTCCTAACTTCAAAACTTACATGTGAAAAACAGAGTTGAATCACTCTTTGTTGGGGAAAAGACTTGGAAAATTTCAAGTGCTTGAGTAAGCACACGCCAGCAAGACTGAAAGGTTTCTGTGTGCCACACAAGCAAGCCTGTAAGACTCGGGAGAAAATGAGTGAAGAAATCCTGAGAGAGGAAAGCCAGGAGTAAGTTACAGAGAATTTAACAGAAGACAGTCCAAAGAGAAAATGTATTCATTTTGCTGAACTTTTCAAACTGCTGACATACAAGATTACCCAACTTGTAGACACTGATGTATGCATCTGGATTTTCTGTGTGCAGAGGAAATGTAAAAAGACAGAATTTAAGACCAAAACTAGGAACTTGGGTGTTAGTTATGAGACGGTAGAAAGGTAGTCTGAAGTGTTTTAGGAATCCCAGTCTCAGCTTTGCAAATATAGGTCATTTGAGGAAATCTGTTCCTGTTACATGTCCATATCTTTGAACTCGCTGATAGTCTTAAAATGGCCAGATGACAAAAGGTTCCAGGGTGATCAACAGGATGTGGGATAACGTTAGGAAACTGGACACAGGTCTGGAGAAGGCAATCTGGCCTGCGGGCAGAGACAGGAGCCGTGGAGTCAAACACAGAAAAGATAAAATAAATATCAAGGATGCGGCGTCTGTTAATCTCCTCCTCTGCAGGAATGTAGCGCTGGAGACAGGATTTCCATTTTGTTTATAAAAAAGAAAAAAAGGTAAACAAGAAGCTGGAATCAACCCAGCAAGCTCCTCGGGCAGACTGGAGACAGAGACCCGCCAGGGTCCCCTTAGGTTGCTTAGGCCACCAAGCTGCAAACAGCATACCCGGGACAGCTACAGACAGTCCTTGGGGATGCGGCTGCTCCTGGGCCGGCCCTGGGCACGCCAGGGGAGGCCGTGCCAGCCTTGGTGTGACCCGCTGCGACCTGCTGCGACCTCCTGTGACCCACTGTGACCCGCTATGACCGCTGTGACCTGCTGTGACCCGCTGTGACCTGCTGCGACCCACTGCGACCTGCTATGACCGCTGTGACCTGCTGTGACCCGTTGCAATCTGCTGCGACCCGCTGTAACCTGCTGCAACCCGCTGTGACCGCTGTGACCTGCTGACCGCAGTGACCGCTGTGACCCGCTGTAACCTGCTGCGACCCGCTGTGATGGCTGTGACCTGCTGCGACCGCAGTGACCGCTGTGACCCGTTGCGACCTGCTGCAACCTGCTGTGACCTGCTGTGACCCGCTATGACCTGCTGCGACCTGCTATGACCGCTGTGACCTGCTGTGACCCGTTGCAATCTGCTGCGACCCGCTGTAACGTGCTGCAACCCGCTGTGACCTGCTGCGACCTGCTGCAACCTGCTGCGACCTGCTGCGACCCGCTGTGACGGCTGTGACCTGCTGTGACCTGCTGCGACCTGCTTCGACCTGCTTCGACCTGCTGCGACCTGCTGTAACCCGCTGTGCCGGCTGTGACCTGCTGTGGCCGCTGTGGCCGCTGTGCCGGCTGTGACCTGCTGTGACCTGCTGTGACCTGCTGTGGCCGCTGTGACCGCTGTGACCCGCTGTGACCTGCTGTGGCCGCTGTGACCTGCTGTGGCCGCTGTGACCGCTGTGACCGCTGTGACCTGCGGCTGCGACCCGCCGCAGGGCCGTTGGGCCCCCAGGAGGCCGACCGAGACGATCTCCTGGGACGGCGGCTGGTGTTTCCTTTTCCCCGAGGGGGGGGGCCCTTCCCGCGGCCGGGTCGGCCCGTCCTGCCCGGTACTGGGGGTCCCCGCGCCCCTGCGGAGGCCGCGCCCGCCCCGCGCCCCGAGTCCCCGCGCCGCGTCCCCGTTACCTGAAGCGTCTCGGAGATGGAGTCCGCCAGCGACAGGGCGAGGGGCACGGAGCTGCCGGAGACCAGGGCGAGCAGGACGCCGGTGCCCGCCGACGCGCGGACGCTCAGCGACGCGTTCAGCTGCCAGGAGCCGGCCGCGGGGTCGGGGGCTGCGGCCGGACGGGGCGGCGTCAGCGTCAGCGCCCGGCACCGCCCCCCGCCCCCCGCGGCCGTCCCCCTCCCCGTTCCCGGGGTCCCCCCCCCCCCCCCGCCGGCTGCATAACCGAGGCACCGGCCGGCGGGAAGCCCCGGATGGAGCCGGCCCGGCCCTCGGACGGGGCCTCTGCGCGGGCCCAGACCCCGAGGGGTTTCCCCTGCTCGTCCTTCTGCAGCCTTCCCCGGGGCCTCCGGGGCCTCCGCGCCCCCCAGCGGGCAAGCCGCGGCGCAGTCGCACTTCCAGGCTCGCGTCTGGTCTGGGTGGGATCCGCGTCGGGCGCAGCGCCTCCGAGGGAGCCGTCGGGCCGTCCCACGCGGCCGGCTTACAGGCATCTCCCAGCAGCCCGCCCTGCAGCTCCGGCACGAGCCCTCCCTCCGGGCCTCCGGGGCCTCCGGGGCCTCCGGGCCCCATCACATCCCTTTTCTTTCCTGCCCTGGTTTTTCTTTCTTTTTTTTTTTTCCTTTTTCTTTTTTTATTTTTTATTTATGATAGTCACAGAGAGAGAGAGAGAGAGAGAGAGGGGGGCAGAGACACAGGCAGAGGGAGAAGCAGGCTCCATGCACCGGGAGCCCGACGTGGGACTCGATCCCGGGTCTCCAGGATCGCGCCCTGGGCCAAAGGCAGGCGCCAAACCGCTGCGCCGCCCAGGGATCCCCTGCCCTGGTTTTTCATTCCTTTTCCTCGCTGACGGGCCCTCCCCTGGAGTGCGGACCTACGGGTCTCTAGCACCACCTTGCTCTCCACACTAGTCACGCAACAGATACTTGAATCGATAGGTTTCCAAAGTAGTTTAATTCCTAAAAATATTGGGGCGTCCGGGTGGCTCAATCAATCGCCCAGCTTCACCTGGGGTCATGACCTCGGGGTCCCGGGATGGGGCCCCGCCTCGGGCTCCCTGCTCAGGGGCAGCCTGCTCCTCCCTCTCCTTCTGCCCCTCCCCTGCTCGTGCCCTCTTTCTCTCAAAGAAAGAAATAAAATCTTGTGAAAATATATCACTTCACATTTTGAGTGAAGTCTTCCGTATTTAATGTTAAGTAATAGGAGACAATAGCCCAAATATCACTAGTAGGTTTTGAAAAGGTGAATGTGAATGGAGAAAATACTGTCCCCTTGACAAGATAACCTTCCATTTAGCCACACCTAATGCTATTACATTGTTCATTATAATCCTTTAATTCCCACCCAGGAAAGAGAAAAAATTTATATATATATATATATATATATATATTTATACATCACATATACATATATAATCATTTGAAATAAATTTACTACAAGATATTAACAAATTCAAACTAAAATAAACATGTGAATGTACAGGAGTTATAATGTAAATTAAACATTAATTTAAAAGTAGGTCACTTTCAAGGTATCCATGAAATAACTACTTATGAAAGTAATTTTTTCAGATACAGTATAACTCTTATTTTCATTTTCTTTTCAGAGTCTTTCCTTTGAACAAATTATTGTAGGCCTAGTTTTTTCCTATATTCAATCATGAACCCCAATTAAAACATTTTTTTTAAAATACTCCTTCATGGGGATCCCTGGGTGGCGCAGCGGTTTGGCGCCTGCCTTTGGCCCAGGGAGCGATCCTGGAGACCCGGGATCGAATCCCACATCGGGCTCCCAGTGCATGGAGCCTGCTTCTCCCTCTGCCTGTGTCTCTGCCTCTCTCTCTCTCTCTCTCTGTGACTATCATAAATAAATAAAAATTTTTAAAAAATTAAAAAAAATAATCCTTCATATACAGACCTAAAGTTAAGGGCATTGGATTCCTTTACGTTAGGAACACAGAAAGTACTAGTGTAAGATTCTTCCTTAAAGCTGTACTAACACTTTTTTTAGACTGCAAAAAAAAACACATTTAAGATGTAATTTCTCCTTAAAGCAGAGATATCAGATTAACATTAAATTTATAATGCAAAGTATTAGTAGCTCAAATGATGAACCCCTCAACAGAAAGAGGCAAAGGACCTAACAAGATAATTAAGATGTAGAAATAGCTAATAAACACATAGATCGTCAACTTCAGGAGAAATTGGGTTAATAATATTTAAAACCACAAGACTTAAGTGTTCAACTCTCAGATTGGAAATAACCCTCGCATACACTCTCTTACTCGGTTGGTGGAAGTATAGACTGATAAAACACCTTTGGAAGCAAATCTAACGGAGCAGTAGGAACCACACATTTGCAAAGCCTTTGATGGACATAATCTAAGATCCCCTCCTATAGAATCAATCATATAAAGGTGTAAAGACGTGTGACCAAGGGTATTATGGAAAAACTATCTGTAAAGACAAAAACCTGGGTGGGTCTGGCTCCTGTCCTGCTTAGACCATAGGAAACTGGAGAGAGCGCTGCTCCCCAACCACCAGCAGCACCACGGGGACCCCTTGTGTAGCCCCCGCGGCCCGCGGCCCGAGGGGAGGAGCGCAACCCGCAGGACGTGCACAGCCCATTGCTTCCGCGCCTTCTCGTGCCTTCTCTCGGCAACAAAGCCTTAGGGCTTGGGCGGAAGGCAACAAACCCTGTCGCCCTTGGCACACCTGCGGAGACTCGGTACGTGGACAGGGCAGGGAACCTGGGAAGAACCAACCAACCAACCAACTGCCCTTTACCAAGAAGGAGCAGAAAAACATCCTGAGTCCTGAGCATTAGATCACCACCACCACCACCACCACCACCACCACCACCACCACCCCGCCTGCGGTTGGGAGGGGGCAATGAAAAGTTCACACCCCTGAGGCCAAGGATCCAATACTTGCCAAAAAACGGCAGAATCTGTGTCAGAACATTCGAGAATGCTCCCCAGGCCCTGCTAACAAATGTCAAGTAACAGAGCATCTTCTGGGGTGCAGCAAGACCGGGGAGCGGCACGTGAAAACAGACGCATGTCAGAAACAACACCTGAAGTCAAGGATACATCAGGCCTTAGGGAAACTCCTCCGGCAGCCAGTCCCGGTCACCAGCGCCAGGTGAGGGCAGGGGAGGCAAGGGCGCCTGGCAGCCCGGCTCCCACCTCCCAGCTGTGGCTCCCAGCACCCACCTCCTGGCTCCCACCTCCCTGATCCCACCTCCAGGCTCCCGACTCCCACCTCCGGCTCCCAGCTCCCGGCTCCCACCTCCCACCTCCCAGCTCCCAGCTCCGGCTCCACCTCCGGGCTCCCACCTCCCGGCTCCCACCTCCCGGCTCCCACCTCCCACCTCCCAGCTGTGGCTCCCAGCACCCACCTCCTGGCTCCCACCTCCCAGCTCCCACCTCCAGGCTCCTGACTCCCACCTCCGGCTCCCAGCTCCCGGCTCCCAGCTCCCAGCTCCCACCTCCCGGCTCCCACCTCCCACCTCCGGGCTCCCGGCTCCCGACTCCCAGCTGCTGGCTCCCACCTCCCGGCTACCAGCTCCCACCTCCCACCTCCCGGCTCCCACCTCCCAGCTGCTGGCTCCCACCTCCCACCTCCCACCTCCCAGCTGTGGCTCCTAGCACCCACCTCCTGGCTCCCACCTCCCAGCTCCTGGCTCGCAGCTCTAACCTCCCGGCTCCCACCTCCCACCTCCCAGCTCCCGGCTCCCAGCTCCCACCTCCCGGGTCCCACTCCCACCTCCCAGCTCCCACCTCTGGGCTCCCACCTCCCACCTCCCGGCTCCCGACTCCCAGCTGCCGGCTCCCACCTCCCGCCGAGACGGGCTTGGGGCGAGGCCGGCCGCAGCCGAAATCCCCCGCCGGGCTCCACCCCCCCACCCCCACCCCCGGCCCCGGGCCCCGAGGCTCGCCCTCTCCGCCGCCGCCCGCCCGCCCGCGGCGCTGGCCTCCAAACCAAAGGCGAGCGGTTCCGAGGAAACCAGGAAAAGCAGCAGGTGGTGGAGAGACAAAGCAATCACGGAGACGCAGACATTGCCCCTCTGAGGAAGGGAACTTAAAATCGTGATGATTAATCAGTGACAAGCGGGTCGAAAATGCGGACAGCATGTGCCATGAACAGATGGGAAACCTCAACAAAGGGGTGGACATTTTAAGAAACAATCAAATGAAAATGCTGGAAATGCAGATGAATCCTTTTGATGCAATCATCAGTAGACTCAACACGTCTGAGAAATCGGTGGACCTTAAAATAGGTTAATTGCATGCACTTGCAATGAATCCGGTTATGTGCCATCAATCTTTTTTAATATGATCTTTAAATAATAACATAAGCATATTCCACTACCTTTCCCCTCACTATACTGCAAAAATTTAACAACGAAATACATGGCAATATGAATAAGCCTAACACCCTGCCTGGCACATAGTTAAGCATTCAATAATATTGACTGCAGGAACTATTGCTGTGTTTGTCAATGAGACAATTTGGTCATTGGTGAGAAAGAGAGAGACAAAATGAGAAGTCACTTACTATAATCTATGCCAAACACAGCCACTCCAGAACCAGGGTAGTAGGAGCCCTTCTCCACCGTGACGAGACAATGCTTATTCTGTTTTTCTTGAATGATTTCCTTTACTCCTGAAGCTCCTTGATTCATCAAATTCCAGCCTCGTATACATCCATCTAGACGAGGGTTAATCTAATGAATTAAAATATGGGTCAAGGAGTGCCTCTTCAACAAGTCAGGCCCATAGGTGGCTTAACTGATTATAGATGCAGTTTCATGTAGAGGGAAAACCCTTTCTTTGATGCCATTTTAAAATATTTCAAGTATTTTGAATTTTATCTAATTTTTTAAGCTGCCCTTCAGAGGGACGGCTCTGATCAGCTACTGTGAGTTTCTGCCATCCCAGGCTGCGACCCTAATGTTCAACCCCTTCAGCTCAACCTGCCTCTCCTCTCTCATCCAGAAATAACTTTTCTGCTCTCAAGTTCCATATACGCGTCTAGCTGTGGCCCTGGGCTGTATATGGGTTTGTTTTGCCTCAGACACTGAGCCTCTTCAGGAACAAGAGTGTTTGGGCTCTCTAGTCTCCATCAGAGCAACCAGACAGACTCAAGACCCATAGTAGCCGTTTCACAAAGAGTTTCTGAAAAATTTATTGTACTTTTAAATGTCTTGATTCATCCATTTCAAAGGAACAGATAGATGTATTCCCTCTGACATGGCTCAACTAATTCAGGTTTTACATCATATTGCAAAAATCTTTAAAAAGTGAAGGTAACCATGAATTGCCATGAGTAAAAAGATGGATATCAAATAGTAAATATTTAAGTTACATCAGCAAGTATAATTGACAGGCCCATGACTTCAAATAAAATTTTTAAGACTCCTCAAGGACAGTGCTTAGTCTCCTTCAAGAAGCCTACTCCACAGTCAGTAGACAAACATCGTATTCAGAAAGTCATCAATTATATATGACTTCAATTTATGATAGGCTGAAGTTATACTCCCAGCAAAGATTTTTTTTTAAGTTCCACCTTTATATGCTATTTTATCTTCCAAATTTAAGTCCTAAAATAGACCCAAGAATATTCTTCGACCAGCTTCTACAAAATATTGTATTTTGGACTCAAATATATGTATATATATTTGCAATAGGTGAATATGGACAGTAATCATGTTAACACGCATTTGATGCTGGAGAATTGAAAAAAATCTACCTCCCCGTGGGTAATGCTGGGCATTTAAATGGGCTCCAAAACACTACACTCATTTCCTTATTTCCTTAATATAATTTCAAGGATCACTATGTTATTTTTCCTTGTTCAATTCAAGTTGTCACAGTTAGTATATTCAACAAAATAACTCCTTCTGACTCTCAGAAAAACACATCTTCAAATCCATTATTACAGGCAAGAGGAATTCACCCGTGATGAGTGGTATAAGCTTGGATCATTACCGGTCTAATTAGGACATTCTCCACTTTCCGAGGTAATCCTGCAAAATATACTTTAGTTTCTAGGAATCCATTTGAAGGCTTAAAAAGGCGTCCGGGTTTATTTATATTCATGACGGCTTCCTTAGCTATTTTTATACTAATACTGTATTCTAGTTCTTCCACAGAGACCTACAATTAAAAAGACAAAAATTCTATATGTTGGCAAATTGAACTCCAATTAACAAATATACAAAAAAAAGACAAAAATTATCAGGAATGCAAACATCACTGCATGTCATTTGAAATGCTAAGATTGAAAAATCCTGTTATTATTCAGGTGAATAATTTTTCAAAGCTATCGTTTTAATGTAATTATTGATTTGCTGCAATCCATTGGAAAAGTCTGGTTATTATAAAGATGGTAAAAATGTGTTTTAAAGTGATAATTCTTGATCGAAAGTTAAATGAACACCATATTTTAATGGAAAAAACCTACAATATTGTTCTTTTGAATTTAAACATCCAATTATACATATTTCAAGTCCAATGTGTCATAAAATTAAGGTGTTTTTTTTTAAGTGAGTCATTCTACAAAAATCTGAGAAAACTTTTAAGTGTTCTTATGTTGCACTTGTCTGACAGTACACATATGGAATCAATAATGGAAATAAATTCTTATTATCAATTACGAGAAATCAGTACCTCTAGTATTCTGTCCATTACATACAGATTATATTTTATTTCAAAACTCAAACGTAATTGAGGTCATAAGGAAGCACAACACATAAAGTTAAATTGAGTTTTTCCAATTTTGAAAGTAGTTTGTTTTTGTCTTTGTTTTAAGTAGGTTCCACGCCCAGCATGGGGCCCCACATGGGGCTTGAACTCCTGACCCTGAGATCAAGACCTGAGCTGAGATGGAGAGTCCGATGTCTAACTGATTGAGCCACCTCAGTACCCTGACAATGGTATGGGTTTTTAGAAAAGATTGAAAGTGAGAGTCAAAAGCAATTAAAAAAATTTTTTTTTCCCAAAAAGGTGACTCAAAAAACCACTGCTGCAATGTCCTCATGCAAAACTACGTGTAGTGCCCAAAGTGCAAACTCTTTGTGTACTAATCAGCAGGCCTGTTAAAGCGCTGCTACAGGAAGGGGAAAGCCGTGCTCCAAAGTAAGATGACTTTGATAGCATTTACAGATTAAAGTCGGTCAATACTGTCTAGGCAATCAGAATCATTTTACTCGACTGTTCCTCCCTTGAAAGATGTTGAGTCAGCCCCCAGGGCCCCCGGGGCCCGGTCTCACTTGCATCTCTACACTTCCTGCTCCTGCTCAGCCTCCTTTGCTGGCACCTCCTCTTCTTTCCAATGTCTGTAATGAGTCCAGGGCTCAGCCCAGACCTTTTCCCTCTAGTCACGCTAGTATTTTCAAATGAGGGCTCTCCTGCTCCATGTCATGGAGGGTAGGGGTGGTACTTTTAGCTGTCGGAGTGGGTAGGATACGCAAGCTGACACTGCAAGATGCTGGACACTAATATGCAGGACAGTCATGCAAAATAAGGATTAAAATATTCAATATCCTGCAAACCTTCTGAACATCCCTACAGGATATGCATGCGGGGTAAACTCATGCTTATCTGAGTTGCTGTATATATGAACACAAAATATTTTTTGTGCCATTTCAGCATGTTCCCTGAATTTTTCAAGAACAGAAATCTTGTAAACCAAGGGTAAATTGATGTTAGCTTTTGTTTGGGTCGTTACCAAGAGTTTCTCACTATTTTGGAAAATTATTTTTACCAATGGCAATGCCATCTATGCACTTGAACTGTTGATACAACACCCAGCATGAGTCTTCATCTGCAGCTTTCGCATTATTCTACATATAGGAGCAAGCTTTGGCAAATATTGTACTTGACCATTTATGTGTTGAAATATCTATTCTTATAAACCACTTTCTTTTATTTCTTTGTATAATAATGAGAGCATTATACTGGCTTCTATCAGGAATATGCAAAAGTAGCTTAGGTTAATGATGCATTTCATTACAGGACAGTAAAGGAGCGTCCTGAAAATATGGGGCCATGTACGAGATAGAGTTTAGAACCACAGATTAACAATAAACAGTCTCATGGCCTTTGAACCCCTCTTTATCCTGAATATTCAGAAGTTTTTATCTACTTTAAATTGAAGGCTGGACCTTAAAAGTATGTCCAGAATCTGCCCACTTCTCACCAGCCACTATCAACATTCTAGTCAGTGATGCCATCTTCTCTCCACTGAGATGACCCCGTTATCTGTCCTGTCCTTACTCTCTACTATCTGGTTTCCACAAAGCCATCATGTCCTGACTAGGATTACCTTTTAACAAACACGCAAATTAAATCATGTCACTTCTCAGCATTATCCAAGTCTTCCCTACTTAGTATAAACTCCAACTTCTCACTAGAGTCCCCATGACTCTACTTGGTCTTACTCCAGAACACATTTCTAACCTCATTTTCTACTCCCTCCCTTACTCCACTGCATCTCTACTAACCTTTATGTTGTTCCTCAAATAGAACAATCACCTCCTTTTGCCTGGTGCTCTGTACTTGCTGTTCACATGGGCACAGCGTCATTTTCCCCACAGATTTCTCATGATTTGTGCCCTTATCTCCAGTCAGATGTAATCTCATCAGCGATGGCTTTCCTGAGTCCACATGCACACTCACCATCATCGCTCTCTACCCCAGACCTCGCTTTTGTTTTTTTCCTCCTGGCACTAACCACGATCTGACATATCTATGTGTTGATGCAATCTGTGGTTTACATCTCACCCCTAGTATGCAAGCTTCACGAGAGCAGTGATTTTGTTTTATTCACTGTTGTAGCCTCGCTACCTAGAGGAAAGACTAGCACATAAAGTGCTCAATAAATATCTTACTGAATGAATAAAATTATGACACAAATTACAGATCTCCCACCAATATTAGAATCATATCCAAATATGAGGTGTGATAATGACTTATATCGATATTTATTCCTACGGTTTATAGCCGTTTTAATTACTTAACAATTACATGCATTCTACTTAATCTGAATTACAAAACAATTCTACATTTTAATTTCTTATTTTTAAAGTATTTTATTTGAAATTTTTAAATTATTTAAAATTCTGAAACAACTGCCATCAACTGAATAGTCCACTTTATAGATTAATTTAACCTAACTTTGTCAATTATAATGTTTACTTAAAATATGTATTTGAGATAAATTTTTTTTTAGATTTTATTTATTTATTCATGAGAGACACAGAGAGAGGTAGAGGGAGAAACAGGTTCCCTGAGTGGTGCCCGATGTGGGACTCGATCCCAGGACCCCATGGTCATGACCTGAGCCAAAAGCAGATGCTCAACCACGGAGCCACCCAGATGCCCTTAAATTAAGATTTTTTTTTTTTTTAAAGAAAGCCAGCACAAAATTTATGACCAGATTAAAGTTTTTCTCTGACTTGCTTATTTTTCTTAAATTTTTAATGTCAAGTTGTATTCAGCTTATACGGGGAAATTTTAATTAACATATGGGCATATCAAAAAAAATATGGGCATATCATTAAATAACAGTTTCTTTCTAACAAGGATCATGAGCACAGGAGACAAAATGTGTGGAACTGAACAGCTGCCTTCTCTCCAGCCCAGAATCCTGCCTTTAACATATCGTTCATGGAGAATTCATTAGTAAACACTACCTGCAACTCAAGATGTTAGCCTCATAGGTAAATATTTACCTTCTTTATATATATTCTGTGTTGCCTAACATGTATCCAAGTTCTCCTCCAAACAGATAACATTTTCAATTTGTGTCAATCAAAAAATTTTCTATTTGCTCTATTTTGCTGAAAAAGTGATCTTAGTGACTTTTAGATAGGTGATTTGGGTGTACTGGGCAATAAAAAGCATTCTTCAGTTCATTGGAGGGATAGCTGTACGCACCGAACATTCCACATACAGATGTAGCACAGGAAAGAGGCAGGGCAAAGCTGCACACACTAAGAGAGCACATGAAGAAGCATGAGAACTCTAGTGATTACTCACAATTGCATCTGATCCCATGAAGACACTCTTCTGTTAAGAGTCAAGAATCCAAAATCTATGGCTATCAAAGGATGAATAGCCCCATTTTTGGCCAACCACATCTGTGCCCAACGGTGCTTTATTATTACCTGTGCTATAATGAGTTCACATTATGCTGTATTGGCTCCTAAGCAGTGAGGTACTCAGCTGGAGAGCAAGAAGCATCTCTTGCCATGGTTCTAGCTCCCTGAACTCAGGAATTTCGCCTTTTAAAAAGTGCTCAACTAAAAGCTTATTGAATATATGAGTGGATGAGCGAGTAAATAAAGAAATGAAATAATTCAGTGATAGCTTCACATGTCTTCTCAACATGTCCCTCTTGGCAGGTCTCACAGGCATAGGAAGTGTCTTTTCTGGGTACCAGCTGGTAAGGTGAAGCTGGTCACTCAGGAATCATCTGCTGAAAGTAGCAATAACTGTTGCAGAAAAGAATTTTCCCCATTATCGACTAGCAGTAATTCTCCTTTGTGAAAAATTCCATTTAGGCTCATTTTTAGGGATAATGTAAAAATGTCCATCTCTAAGCACTCTAATTGGTTCTAGCTAGTATATACTCTTTGTACAAGTTGATTATCTATATGCTAACATTTAAAATTGAATTAATCACTATAGTCTTACTCTTACTATGTATATTTCTACGTTGCTATGTGTTTTTCTCTTTCATTTAAAAAATATCAGTGGCTACTCAGTGTGGCTGTCCTTGGTCAGTGATACCTGTACATGAGATGTTATGCCTGCTAATGATCCCTAACCTACGGGAGAGACCTCAATAACTGCCATTTAAAATGGTAAAGGGATCCCCGGGTGGCTCAGTGGTTTGGCGCCTGCCTTCTGCCCAGGACGCGATTCTGGAGACCCAGGATCGAGTCCCGCATCGGGCTCCCTGCATGGAGCCTGCTTCTCCCTCTGCCTGTGTCTCTGCCTCTCTCTCTCTCTCTCTCTCTCTGTGTGGTCTGTCATAAATAATTAAATAAAATCTTTAAAAATAAAATAAAAAGGTAATAAGTTAAAGACAGAGCAATCCAAGCAAATACCTGAAAACAATTTAAGTTACAGGAAATCCTAGATATACTAGGTGAGGTCATCATTTACAGAGGCTGTTTCAAGGATTTACACTGTGGGGTATGCTTCGTACAACATCAAATAAACCTAGGTCTGTTTGATTTGGTATCAGTATAAACATAGATTATTAATGATGTTAAACAAACTGTATCAAAGTGGGATGTTATTGGTAAAATCCGCAAAACCTACCGTATTCCACAGCCCATTATTAATAGCCTTGCCTCCAGTTGTGACTTTGGTTGTAAATTCATTCTTAAACTGAATTTCAATCTTTCCATCACGAAGCGCAATCAGGAACCAAGCCGAGCGGTCAAGAGATTCCGCATACAGGATAACACCTTCTGAATCGTATGTCCGGAAATCAAATTCGGCTGAAAATCTAAATAATGGAAAAAGAGAGAGTCTTAACAGAAATATGGGATGCTCAATGTCTATTCTTTTCCTCTTGTACTAGCAAACAGCAATATGCTGAAGGAGCCAAGTATTTCTTTCTTTCCTGGGACTAATAAAAGAGCAGGGGAGAATTAAACTGTTCATGGGTTCTCTCTGGTTCCATGTGTGTTTAAAATCAAGTTAGTATTTTTTTTCTTGCTTATTCTTGGAGTCCTGTTCCCTTGCGAACAGATGCTTTGGTAATTTTTCTTTCTTTTTTTTTTTTTTTTTTTTTTTTGGCATTTGTCTTTAAGGCACTCTTTTAAATGCTGGAACTCCCACATGTCCAAGTACCAGATCTATCTCTCCTGGAGCTTTCTATATAATCTGACATTAAAATTCCTTTCTTTTTTTTCCTGTGTCAATAAGTCAGTAGTAAAAGCTGTTACAATTTCATGATTGGTTTATACATCAAAAGGCCCGTTTTCCCTGTAATTTCATATATGTCAGGAAGGACTCTCTCACAGAGATATACAAGACGGCGTCTGGATGACTACAAACATAATTAAGCCTTCATGTGTGGTAAGAAAAGCCAAAAACTTTAAAATAGATCTGTTAGCTTGATTTCAAAAGCTCTCCAAAATTCTAATTGTATGAATCACTATACGAGAGCACATGCAAGGACACCTTAAAACCTATCATCTAGCCACGTTCCGGGTGTATCAGATATTCTGTCAATATCTGTCGCTATTAAGACTCTGGGTATATATGTAACTATTACAAGGGAAGAAATATCTTAGAAACACTGGATTAAAAAAATCACATGTATTGATCAGTGCCCCATGACACCGTAATGAGAATCAGCATTGACATTTCCAAGAAACCAGTAAATCAAAGTGATTGAAAAAAGACAAACAGGGAATAGAAACATAGTTGTATAACTATTAGTCACTTCAGTTAAGCTACAATAAAGATAATTTAAGGTAAAAAGTCAGGATTTCGGATAATTGCCAAGGCAGGCAAGGAAGAAAGGGCTATTGGGAACACCTCTACCTACTAGTAATGGTAATAGGGGCACCATATGCAATGGGAATAGATTTAACTTTAAATGGAACAAAGAAAGGCTGATAAAATAAATTTTTTAATCTTTAGAATTCCAAGAAACATTTTAAAGATATTATGTGGAGTAAAGTATATTGGACAGATAACAATGTAGTAGTAATTTACAGAGCTAAGATTATTTTAGAAGGTTTTTTGGTAGGGTTTTTTTTTTTAATTTTCTGTAAGGTACTTTTTTTTTTTAATTTATTTATGATAGTCACAGAGAGAGAGAAAGAGAGAGGCAGAGACATAGGCAGAGGGAGAAACAGGCTCCATGCACCGGGAGTCCGACGTGGGATTCGATCCCGAGTCTCCAGGATCCGGCCCTGGGCCAAAGACAGGCACCAAACCGCTGCGCCACCCAGGGATCCCTTGGTGGGGTTTTTTTTTTTTGGTGTTTTTTTGTTTGTTTGTCTTTTCCTTAGGATAAGGACCTCTATTCGCATAACCACCACATTTTGCTGATGTCAAGCACATATTATCTTGTCAAAACCCAAATCTGTGTATGCTCACGATCCTCCAGAAGTTGATCATATAACGGAGATAATTTCCTTCTCTTTGCAAAATCATGCTAAACCAGTAACAACACAAAGAGTTCTGTTCTGCATTCTTTCTGTCTAGAATACATCAGCATACATTGGGGAAGAATTCATTCTTTTTCTGAAGTTTCGTAGAATGAAAAAGAAGAGTGAATTTGTTAACTTTAGGATAGGATAAGTATTTCATCCTTGGAAACAGAGCTGAAGGAATTTGCAGAAAAAGGGGGAAGACAGCAACAAAGCACCAGCTCTTCTTTGTGTTGGTTACTAGGTGGCACTTTGTACAAAATTCATCAAGCTGTACATTCAACATACATGTATATTTCTGTATGTGCATCTACATCATACTTCAATAAAAAGCTTAAAATAAATAAGGAACAAATAAGTAAATACTGAAAAAAATAATTATTTAGTCTAGTTGATCCAATGTTAGAGCCCAAACTATTGTGAATTATCAGAACAGAATCCCCCTGAACAGGCCTAAAAATGTGCAATTATTGACCTTTTTCCCCTCTCATTCTCATTATTCTCTTAGCAAGGGAATGTTGTCTCCAGTCTATGTCACTAGACAATATTATCTGCTCTGAGTTGTTAAAAGGGAAAACCAGGTCTTGGTGGATAAGAACATTGAAGGAGCACAATCACATCAGTGAATCTTAGAATACAATTCAATGTTCCTTAATGATGTGATTTCTATGAATTTAGTCGAATTATTTAATGAATAATCATTCATATACCTAATGAATTAAGTTGTATGTGTGCGTGCTTATCTAATTAAAATATTTTAAAATATAGACTTTACAATCAGTCGCAAATACATTTCCTTTCCATTATTCCTACAAAATTCCAATGTCTTTTTTCTAGTTCCAACCATGTATGACTCTGAGAAAATTTGATAATTAAAGTAAAATCATGATTCTAAAATACAATTACTCTTTCCCTAGAGGCAACTTAACGGTAGGAATAACAGACAAGGTAGTCAGTCAACTAAAATCATGTGATGTGTTTCTTTGAAATACCACCTAAGCAATCTTATGAATTTTCCTTAATAATTATGAATATAACTATATTCTAAAAGCAATGCCTTGAGTATTTTCTCATTACTTAGTTTCTATAACATGGATGAAGAAGGATGGAAATGTCACAAATGTATTAAATCTACTTTCCCAACTTAAGTATGTATTCACTAGAAAAGGAAGAAGGACTTACTAAAACGATCATTGGAGAAGGTCAGCCTAGAACAACCCAAATGATTCTAGCATGAAAATTACAGGTGTGAAGGAGTGAATTAACTTTAGGGTTCCCCAAATCATCTGATTGATAATATCCCCTAAATTATCTAATTGGAAATGTAATTTCATACATTTCCAACCTTTTCCGTCCCTTCTATCCTTACCCGCTCACCTCTAGAGATTACCATTGACATTGGTAGCTCACCTGGTGATTTCCGGCAAACGAAATTTTAAATATAAAACCACCCCTACAAATTGCTCTGCCAGGTAAAGTAATTCATAATTCTTGTCGAGGTTCAAGGGCAGGCACACTGGAACAGCCTGGGGGAAAGGAAACAGAAGAAACAAAACACGCAGGTTATTGCCTGCTGTGTGTGTCAGGTTACACACCCTTTCTCTGATTCCTAGTGGTCTTGTCAAACGATACGTATCCTCTGTGATATATTAAATAAAGAACACCCTTGTAAAGCAGCATCCTTTACTTCCTTACATGATCCATCAGGATAACCTCCCAGAACACAAGTTTTGAAAAGTCTGGCTCCATGTGTGTGGCTTATATTTTTGTCGTTATTTCCCTTGCAAACCTCAGCCCAAACCCAACCTTCTTCTTCCAGTAACATGTCTCCCCTTAATTAACTGCGGTTCTGATGCTTTCTAAGAATTACACTGGAAAAAAACGTCAGAGTCAGAAAGCATGGAAGAATCAGTACATTCACTCATTCATTTATTACGACAAATTTTCTGAGCAAAAACGTATCATCCAGATAATGGAGCGAGGTAGGGAAGCCGAAGGGACTCTATTTGAGAAAGACCACATCTCCGCTGTTCCTTGCTCGGCCCTATTTACTCACATTCTAGATTTCACCTTGCATCTGTGTCAAAACCAAAGAAGCTATGTTCCCGCTCCAGGGGGGAAACAAGAAAGCTAATCATTCTCCGAGTTTTGCCCTAGGCCCCCAAACACCTGATAGATAACATCTAAGAAGAGGCCGGATCCCAAACATGTCCCAGGACCTCAGCTGACACTGGCATCAATACCCCCTACCTTTGATGATCTATAAAATAACACCTATTATTCACCTATTACTTGCCTTTGATTGGACCTACCCTGGATCCCTGAAGGAGCACGTACCCTGGACCCCTTTGCAATACAAACCCCTAGCCCTAAATCATGGAGAAAGTCACTCTCTTTTCCTTTCTGAGGCCCCCAGACTCTCGGTCTGCTATACCGTGTCATTCACACTATCCAGTAAACTCCACTTTCACTTTCTCTGGCTCGCATCTGATTTCTATCCAGTGGGAAGCCCAGGAAGCTGGTCTTGGCTGGTCCTGTGGGAACGCCCCCACCCCACCTCCCCAGGTTCCGGACTCAGCCTGCCTTGTATCAAAGGCAACGCGGGAAAACCTAGATGGGATAAAGATAAATTAAGGTATCTCGTTGGTCTCCAAGGAATATACAGAAGACAAGAAATAATTTAGAGTCATTAAGTTAATATCAAGGATTTTTTTTTTTCTAAGAGTAAAATCAAACATTAAAACAGAAAGCTTTTCCGGGATCCATGGGTGGCTCAGCAGCCGCCCTCGGCCCCGGGTGTTATCCTGGAGACCTGGGGTCGAGTCCCGCGTTGGGCTCCCTGCATGGAGCCTGCTTCTCCCTCTGCCTGTGTCTCTGCCTCTCTCTCTCTCTCTCTCTCTCTCTGTGTCTCTCATGAATAGATAAAAATCTTTTTAAAAGAATAAAAAATAATTTTTAAAAAACCAGAAAGCTTTTTAGGGATAAGCTTGGGCGTCCACAGCGGGATATTCAGCGGGGTGCTGTGTGTGCGGCACTGTACTAACTCAGGTCCAGAAACAACATCTCTCATTTCCTCTTAAAACTTCAATAAACCTCTTCCAAGGTGGATGGTGATGTGTAACCACTACAAATACTAAAACAACAAAAGACTAAGTTACAAAAGAGACATTCGCACAGCATGACATTCATTTCAGTACAATAGAAGTCACCACATGTGCCAACCATCTCGCCTTACCTTCCTTACCAAGTCAGGAGCATTTATTGAATGTTACACTTTTGGGCATACGCGGTTTTGTCCTAGTAACGAATACAGAGGCATGTGGATACACATGATTAAATCACTGTTTACGTCATTTTTGTCTTGTTTTTTACTGTCTGACTCCTAATCCTATAACATTTTACCCTCACTTGTAAAAAGGAATCCAGGAGTTGCCCTAGATTCACTAACACATGATCCTGATTTAGGGAGAAAAAAGTTTCAGGTGTTGACCTATTTATTTCAATGAAGGAAAAACCACCCCCAACATTCAATTCCTAGTCGATTATGAATTAAATCCAAGTAACTAAAAGCAAGTTTGAGAGACACAGATTAACAAAATCAACCTCTATGAATTTTGATATACTTAAACCCCAGTAAATCCTACTCTGACAGTTATTTCCACCTGAGAGTTTATGAGTGCTCTTGCAAGTGCTAACATGCCAAAGTGCAATCAAACCTGTGAGAGTAGGATAAAGAAAAGTACACATACGAAAACGTTCCCGCTATGGTTCCTATGTGGGTTTTTTTCCTCACAAAGAGAAGTACAAATCTTGACTTCTCTTAATTTCTTGAATAAAAATGCACATTGTATGTTGTAAATGTACAGGCTATACAGATGAGCACTTTCTGAACTATGACCCTGCAGTCTTTTTTTAACCTAGTCACTAATTATCCCCAATATGTATAGCTTACATGACCAAAATTAGTAAATAGATTGTGACTCATAGCCTGCTAGACTTAGAGCAATTACCATGGAGCATCTGTATTTTCCTGGGGCACGTGGGTGGCTCGTTCTGATTCTTGATTTCGACTCAGGTCACGATCTTGGGGTCGTGAGGTCGAGCCCCTTGTGGGGCTCCATGCCCAGTGGGAAATCAGATTTTTTCTTTCCCTCTCTCTTTGCCCCTCCCGCACTCATTCTCTCTTAATCTCTCTCACTCAAAATAAATAAATAAATCTTAAAAAAAAAAAAAAAACCGGGATCCCTGGGTGGCGCAGTGGTTTGGCGCCTGCCTTTGGCCCAGGGCGGGATCCTGGAGACCCGGGATCGAATCCCACGTCGGGCTCTCGGTGCATGGAGACTGCTTCTCTCTCTGCCTCTCTCTCTCTCTCTGTGACTATCATAAATAAATAAATTAATTAAAAAAAAAAAAGCCCTTTCAAACAAAAGAACATCTCTACTTTCCTGACTCACCTCGGCTATGTGGAAATAAGTACCCCAGTCTCTCCTTTTAGAAAAGACATGGGAAGTTTAGCATTACAAAATGTTACCTCACAGCTCTTGTGATCTTGGGCGAGTTTGAATCCTTTTCTCCCATCACAGTAACAAGAGTAACCTCCAGGGTAGTTGACACAAAGTTGAGCACACAGGTTCTCAGAGCATTCGTCCACATCTGGGGTAAAAGAGAACATAAGTCTTATTATCTTCTGAATATTCAATCCAATAGGAGTATTCTGATTTTAGTAAAAGATGATCAGTGACAACGGAGGCGCCTGGGTGGCCAGTGGTTCAAGCATCGGACACTTATTTCAGCTCAGGCCATGAGCTCAGGGTGGGAAGATGGAGCCTCGCATCTTGCTCCATGCTCACGTGGTGTTGGCTGAGATTTTTCTCCCTCTCCCTCTGTCCTCCCCTACGCTTGTGTTTACTCGCTCTCTCCCAAATAAATTAAATAAATAATCATCAGTGATTATAATAGGTTCTCAGTAAAAGAAATCTCTGAATAACATGAAATCATATTTCAACGTGTAGCATGGAAATTTAAATGAGTTGCAAGTGTAATTTCTATCTATTTACACAAGTCAAACAACAAATTTTGATGTATAACTTTCCATACTAAATAATTAATAAAAATATCCCAACTAAACATAGCATATCCCAACTATGGAATATGCTATGTATCCCAATTATTCCATACTAAATGAGTAATAAAAAATATCTCAACTATCTATTTACACAAGTCAAACAACAAATGTTAATGTATAACTTTCCATACTAAGTAAATAATAAAAATATCCCAAATATACTAATGATTTTTTTAAACTCTTTTTTTTTTAATTTTTATTTATTTATGATAGTCACACAGAATGCGAGAGAGAGGCAGAGACATAGGCAGAGGGAGAAGCAGGCTTCATGCACCGGGAGCCCGACGTGGGATTCGATCCCGGGTCTCCAGGATCGCGCCCTGGGCCAAAGGCAGGCGCCAAACCGCTGCGCCACCCAGGGATCCCTATACTAATGATTAATAAGAATATCCCAACTATAAATTTTCCAATTTCTTAATTTGAAGGAAAAAAGACTGAGCCTCTCAAGGCAACCATCATTTCTAACTACAAGAATTCCACTGAGACTGCCTCCCAGTTGTTTGCTTTGATGAAAAGAAAGGGAAGGAAGAGGAGAGGAGGGGGGGAGGGGGTGGAGGAAGACAGAGGGGAAGAGAGAGGAAGGGGAAAAAAATCTCTTAACTGAAGGTTAATATAATCAGGTGTTATGTAATATCAAGAACCTTTGACATTCCATAATGCAGTGACCGGAAGTGACAATAAATTTAAGGACATATCTTTATTTCTTATCATTTAAAAAAGAAAAACAAAATCCCTATACTGTGAAATCTTCTAGATAGCCCTGTCTTCACTCCATATTTTGAGAAAATCATCCTTGAAAAGTTGTAATAACATGCTCCAGCTAGTCTACTTCAGAGCTACGTGACATCCTTGATATTTTCAATGAATGCACCCTGAGATCCTTGAAAATTTGGAAGTACATAAATGCATATATTCGTAGCATATAAATTCCCCCATTAAATGCCCTAAAGTACAACTCCAAAATTAATGATCTCTTAGCATTAAAATTAAATTGCAGATAGTTAACACAATATGAATATTGTACCTATATGTCATACACACAGCCCTTAAAAACAAAATCTGTCATTCACTGAATAAAAACTACAATATACATGATCAAGTTGGCTAAAACAAATCTGAATATTACCACAGTAATTTCTTTTTTTTTTTTTAAGATTTTATTTATTTATTCATGAGAGACAGAGAGAGAGAAGCAGAGACACAGGCAGAGGGAGAAGCAGGCTCCGTGCAGGGAACGCGACATGGGACTAGACCCCGGGTCTCCAGCATCACACCCTGGGCTGAAGGCGGCGCTAAACCACTGAGCCCCCCAGGCTGCCCTACCACAGTAATTTCTATCTAGAGTTGTGGGAGAACAGAAATGGTGTGTGGAGGGAATATTTTTTGGTGATTGCACAGGAGGTAAAACTTCAAAATATCAAGAGAAGGAGATATATTCGAAAAAAACCTATTCTAAAGTTACTATTGATTTAGGCAAATTCATAGAGACAGAAATTAGATTAAAGGTTATCTCCCAAAAAGTAGATAGAAACAGAAAGTAGATGAGAGTTTGGGAGAGGGAGGAGGGGTAATTTATTGCTTAATGGTTACAGAGTTCTGTTTGGGATGATGAAAAATTTTGGAGAGATATAGCAGTAATGACTCCATAATCATGTGAAAGTAATTAATGGCACTGAATCATACCCTTAAAAATGGTTAAAAGGGCACATTACATCATATACATGAATGTAGTATGTATATTCATATATATATATATATATTCCCATATTAGAAAATCACTATTGATTTGATTAGTTTTAGTTATGATATTGAATTTATTTTTTTAAAAAACTTAAAGGAGGGCAACCCAGGCGGCTCAGGGGTTTAGTGCTGCCTTTAGCCAGGGCATGATCCTGGAGACCCGGGATCAAGTCCCTCGTAGGGCTCCCTGCATGGAGCCTGCTTCTCCCTCTGCCTGTGTCTCTGCCTCTCTTTCTCTCTCTCTCATGAATAAAAAAATAAAATCTTTAAAAAAAAAAAAAACTTAAAAGAGGACATGAGGTAATTTGTATCTATGATTTAAAAATATATATCCCTTTAATACCTCTATGCCACCCGAGTCACACCCAGAAGCACTCCTAGGCCTAAATGAGTCCAAAGGGCTCCCTCAAATCCACAGGCACTGACAGTACTAATCAATAATTCTCAAATTTCTAGAGCTCGGTTGTTGTTCAAATATGATGAGATTTTTCTTTTGTATGTATTTAATTACAACAGAACTATATCATTTCTTATTTAAGAATAAATGACACACTGATCCAGGCACAGAAAATCATCAAAAAGCTGGGTATAAAACCAGAACGTTTCAAACCATTTGCATCACACCCATGTGATTTTTAAACTTGTTTTCTCTTTGTATGTGTGTTTTTCCTTCCAGGTTGAAATGCTTTTCATCTTTGAATATGGTTTAAACAATGAGAAGGTACGTTTATCTGGCTTTTATCATACATGGGAGGTCTCCAATTCACACACAGCTTAGGAGGCAAACGGAGGGTGCAAGGCTGAACCCAAAGACCACGTGTCTTACGTGCTTTTACTCGCAACAAAGCCAGCGACTACCCGATTGACTAAGCTGTATCATGGGACTTGTCAGACCGAACCAATATGCTTCCAATATCACAGCAAGGCTCCGACCCACCCTCTCCACCATCCACAATGGCACCACCACAGGGCTACCTTCACAAGACTTCAGCGCAGGGTTGTATCTGTAGCCTTCTGCACATTCGCATTCATAGTCCCCGGGGATGTTCTTGCACACAGCTGTGCCACAAATGTCCGGCATTATCGAGCATTCATCCACATCTATAAGGGAAACCAAAATATTAACATTTTTCCCATACCAGAAGATACTAGCAAAGAACCCTTGATTTGTGTTTCCTGGATCTAGTTTATTACATGTAATGAGACAACAGAGTGGCAGGGGAATAACAAAATTTTAGATCTATCATCATGTTTTGGTTTACTAGACATGATTTCTTCATACAAACATATAAGGAATTTGATGTTTGCTAAGTTCTTTATAGTTCTGTAAAAGAGAAGAGGGCTTTAGTTATTTTCTTATCTACCAAGTTACATTGCGTGAATAAATGGGAGAAAAGATTCCTCATATTGTTTTTTTTTTTTTTAAGATTTATTTATTTATTCATGAGAGGCAGAGACAAAGGCAGAAGGAGAAGCAGGCTCCTCACAAGGAGCCCGATATGGGACTCAATCCCAGGACCTGAGGTCAGGTCACAACCTGAGCCAAAGGCAGACGCTCAACTGCTGAGCCACCCAGCGTCCCAAGATTCCCCATATTCTTAATATAGATCCCCAAATACATGTTTTTTAAATATATTCTTCAAGGTAGATTTACTCTGTATTATCACAAATATAAAAAATAAAAATGAGGTGGCTCTTCAGTGAGGTTTTCCTTTGGAAATGGACAGTAGCTAAATCTGCATACTATTATTGTTGGCTAAACCCCTCAAGAGTAATTCAAATTTAAAAGGGAATTGAGTGAGGTCTCAAAGTATTTATAAAATCCCAATACAAATTTTAGTGCTACATTAATATCCAGAAGCATTTATTATACTACATGGTGGAGTAGGAGACAAATTAGATAAAAGCATGTATGAGAAAAACAAAACAAGCAACAGAAATAGTTCAATGGCGACGTAATTATTAACTGTTCTCTTCTGTACTCTCTGGAGACAGATAAGTTCAGAATGGAAAATATATTTTCTACTCCATAAAACTCTAAAAATTTCTTACAACGGCATGTAAATCTACGATTACATCAAATAAAATATTCATTTTTTAAAAAGAGCTATAAAAATCCATATTTTAAAAGAAAGTGGAAACATATGACTAAAACTATTTGGTTTGAGTCATATTATAGAGAATTATCTAAATCATATGAGTTCAGGTTATAGCACATTGATTTTATTACTTTACACTGACATCTAACGTCTGATGAAAAGTTTTATTCTTACATTTTTAGACAATTACAGGCAACTTGATCTCAGGCACATCCACATCTTGGCAAAGGCCCTATTTTAATCGTTGTATACATATTCTTCTATCACCTGGTTCATGGATAAAGACTGTGTGAATGAAGTATACAAGAACATATGCTCTGGTCATCAGGGACATTCTCCTGTGTAAGAGAACTTTTGTAAAAATCTATATACAAGTGTATTAACTGAATGGATAAGAATTAAATACCTTTTTTAAATTAAATACCTTTTAATGAAAAATGTACGTCCACAACTTATTGAGGACAGACCATTCAAGTATTTAAATGCAGAAGTATGAATGGGTATTAGTTGCTTATAGAATGTGTGAAGTATCCTGAATTACGATGGTTTTCTATAACGTGTTCTAAGAGTGTTGGTATTCTCAATTTCTGACTTCAAAAAGACCTTCAAATAGGCAGACAAGAAAGCTGTATGGTCACAAACTGGATAATGGTTTAGGAGAAATTGTTACTTAACGCAGTTCACTTTATTTTTATTTTTTTAAGATTTTATTTATTCATGAAAGACACACAGAAAGAGGCAGAGACACAGGCAGAGGGAGAAGCAGGCTCCATGAAGGGAGCCCGATGTGGGACTCGATCCCGGGACTCCAGGATCACACCCTGGGCCAAAGGCAGACGCTCAGCTGCTGAGCCACCCAGGGATCCCTGCAGTTCACTTTAGAGTCATTTGATTGCACTTTAAATGATATTATAGTAAATTATACCATGCCAAACACTATAGCACAGTGAGGGACAGATCATCCCTTGAATACGAATTCAGTCTGGGGATTTCCCACAGCAGATGTGAACAGAGTTGAACAAGGACACTTTATTTTAACTTACTACATGTTTCCATCTCACAGCAAAAAGAAAAAGGACAAGGAGACAGGGAAGAAGAAAGGAAAGAAGGAAGGAAGGAAGGAAGGAAGGAAGGAAGGAAGGAAGGAAGGAAGGAAGGAAGGAAGGAGAAAATCATTTCCAATTTCTAGGGTAAAAACTTAACTCCAGGCTGGAAAATTTCATTTTTAGTCATCCACGTGTCTAGCACAAATATTTGAAGATTTAATCACAGCAGTTAAAACAGTCAAATGGGAAGGACAATAGGCAGGGGGGGGGGAAGTAAAAATTGTAGGGAAACATAAGGACAAGGAAAAACAAAGGAAATACATGAGTCAAATGACTTACTGGGAAGCTAAACTGACAGGGATTATTTAAATCTGAAGAAAAAAAAATCGTTATGACCAACGATGAGATCTTAAATGTATAAAGAGAAAGGAAACTAGTTTTCATCTTTCCCAAAACCACAACACGAGGTAAAGTGCAAGAAGAAACATTTATATTGGATATATGACAGGTATATCTAACAAGGAAATATGAACTGCAGTGGAAGCGGTTATTGAGGATTATGATGGATTACTTGGTATAGCTGTTTATCTTACTGGAGTAAAGGGAATAATATTATAGTGTCTGAGAACAACAAAAACAATGATTTTGCAAAGGCTCGAGTAAGCAAGGACTTGCCCTGAAACTTTACTTTGTCACTATTTCATTAAATTCTTTATTCAAATGCGCACACGCACACATACACCCAGTGAGAAAACATAAAACAATAAATACTAAAATACAGTAAGAAAACAATGAAAAGTTCTATAAATAACACAATACTCCATAAACATTCAACGAAAAGGCTCTTATGACAAGGCTTCAAGGTGGGTAACAATGTATATTTATATTACAAGTACTTGGAACCAGAGAGTTCCAAGAATTTCCTGGGGAAATTCCTCTAAGTGAGCTTTGCTCTCGCACCATGAACACCTTCTTGCTCTCACCTTTGCAGTCCTTCTTATTCAAAAGCATAATAAAACCGCTTTTACAGGAACAGTGGTAACTTCCAGGTGTATTATCGCACATCTGGCTGCAACCTCCATTTATATTTGAGGGATCTTTGCACTCGTTTATATCTAGGAAGGGAAAAATAAATGATTATTTAATGCAATAAGTCCTTTGGAGAACTTTCCAGGAGGCCAATCCGGGTGAGTCAAGCAGATGCAGAATACATACCGTCCTCACACCTGTCGCCCTGCCAGCCTGGCTTACAGATGCAAGTGAATGTAGCTTGGCCATCCCTGCAGGTCTTGTATCCATCCTCGTTGCACGGCAGAGGGCTACACTGGTCTGGAATGGCTGAGGGAGACAGGCAACTATTTAGTTTTTACCGTGTGGCATGGTCAAAAAGAATTATATGCCCTTTAATACAAATCCTGTGCACGGAGCCTGTAACCAATGGAAAAAATCACGACTCCCTCCCTCAAACAATACCTTTTCATAGAAAAGTGAGTCCATTATTTTTCCCCCTGTGGTCATTTATCTCATTTCCCAAACTGCACACCTGAGTGGGATCACATGGCATCTGTCCGTCTCTGGCTGGCCTGCCTTGCCCAGCATAACACTCTCCAGCTCCCGGCTACGCTGCCACAAATAGCAAGATTTCATTCTTTTTCAAAAAGAGAGAGGCAGGCCAAGAGGCCGACTCCTACCTGTGGAGAATGAGCTGATGGTTGGCTGAGGGGACATGGGTGGGGAGATGGGTGAATGGGCCACGGGAATTGGGGGGTGCACTTGTCATGAGCACCGGGTGTTGTATGTAGTTGTTGAGTCGCTACATTGTGCACCTGACTCTCATATTGCACAGTACATTGGCTAACTGGAATTTAAATAAAAAATTTTTGAAAAAGAAAGAAAACACATACCTTACTAGAAAAAAGTGAGTCCATTAGATAAATCTTTACAATTATTTTGCAAAAGGGAACTACTTTTATATTTGCAAATATATACAGCTACACTATATACAATATATATCCACAACTCTAATTTGTTATTTTTTTGTACAAATTACCTTATTTGATCCTTAAAACAATTCAGTGAGGTAGGCAGAACAAATAAAACTACTCAGTATCAATAGAAAAAAGAATTTGGGGCTTCCGATTTGGGCCAAGACGAAGTAACAGGGACCAGATTTATCTTCCTGCCTTAAATAAATGCAACTCTGCTCAAAAACACATAAAAAAAAGGTTTCCAGACACTGGACAGAGTTCGGGGAGCAGAGTACTGGGAATTCCTCGGGGAAGGCCGTTTTCTTCACAAAACGTTCCAGCACCTTATCACCATCTTAAATGATATGCCCATTTGTGGGTCTGTGGTCTCTCCCCTACTAGACACCGCAATAGTCCCTTCGTTCCAGCACATTTCCACACCTGTTTCTCAAGCCTCCTAGTTAACTCTGCAAGTTCCTTCTGACACATTCCCCTTTGCTTAAGTTAGCCTGAAGAATTTTCCATTACACATTAAAAAAAAAAAAAATTAAACCTAACCAAAACCCAATTTCCAAATTTTTCAACGAAGTTTTTGTGAAAAGTAGTAACAAACTAGGTATTATTAAAATTATAAAAAAGCTAATCAGTTTATTTTCATCTCCTTTGGTAAATTAAAAAATAAAGTATGGGATTAAATACACACGTTCAGGCAAACTGTCTTACTTGTGTAATTACAATCAATTTAAAATCAGAGAAAATGGAAACCAATGAGTATTTGGATAATGTCAATGCCACATGTAAATTATTCACTAGATGAACATCCCGATTTACGCCTTGCACTTTCACCTTTTCGTCTTGGACTCTCATCCGGGAAATTGGGAAGTTAGAGACAAGTAATCTGCCAGAATTATCACTAGGCCCTACACGAACAGCGGGAGAAGGCTAATTTGGTGTTCTAACATTTTTACATTTATGTTGCTGACGCCAAAAGCTAGAAGAACAAACATGACGCCACCTTAACCTGTTCATCAACTAGAACATAAGGTCGTAACTACGTGATTATTTATGAAACAACACTCAAAATAAAGCCATCTGGGAATAAAATCCTGAATCAATGCCCTAAAGCTTGGTAAACAAGGAACTGTTCAAACAGTAGGTGGAATATTTATTTTGAGTAAAAGAGCAGCATTTACATTTGAGAAAAAAGACATCCTCTCAAGTGGTTTTGAGAATACCTCCTTGCTGGGCATGAACACTTGCAAGGGCTCATTTGTTGATTCTACACATTATACGTTTACATGGTGTACCTTATTCACTTAGGGGTTTTTACTTTGTTTTGTTTTTTAAATGGATGGTAGAGGTGTTTACCAGTGACACAGCTCCTTAGATCGGGGTAAGCATCAGTGGACAGGCGCGCAGCAGTGAACAATCCAGCTCGGAAAGAGCCAAGACAACCTGTAAGTACAAATGTAATCACTTACTTTATCTGAAATTGTGGTCGAGGTAGAAATTATCCAAAGTGATAGAACATTCATCTTCCTGTGGATTTATAGGATTTGGCATTCAAAATGTCATCCCTAAATGTTCCCACCTACATTTTTGAAAAATTAAAAATTCTGCAAGGAAGATTGCAGTAAGTACAGAATCATGAAAAACTGGTTTATGGAAGATTCTTTTTGAAGAAGAACCCCAAAGCAAGACATGAAAAAGATCTCAGATTAACAGAAAAATTCACTGGCAAGTAAATCTATATTCTTAACTCTTCAGCAGACGCCCAAATTTACCCTCAAATCTGTAGACCAGAGCCTAATTTAAAAGTGTCTATAATTAAGTCAATAGATAAGTCACTGTTTTTGATCGCTTCGGACAACTTCTAATTCTTCCGCTGTTGCATAGGGAGTAATGACAACATTGGTAAAATGCCTCACTGTTACAAAGTAGGTTTATTCATTCATTTTATTCCTCACTATTATTCTGCAACATTAGATACAGCAATGTGGCAGCAAAAACGGCTGAAATAACAGGTAAATACTTACATACTTACATTAACTCGGGGTCCTTTAGTGTCAACAACTTAACAGTTCTTAGTAGTCACTGAAGACAACGTCATTGATATATACAGACATATCTATGGATGTCAATCGCTTCATTGGACAGCCAATCCCAACTTGCTAAAGAAGTGGTATTTTGATTTCCTTCTGCTGAGCAACAACCCCCCAAATTAGAGGGGGGTTGAACAATCACTGCATTTTGCTCACCGTCTGTGGGTCAAATATTCAGAAAGGGTTCAGCTGGGCTGTGTGTCCCTGCGGCACATAGAGTAAGCCAGGGAAGCTGAGGCTGGAAGGACCACCCCCAGCTGGCTTCTGGCTCACATGGTGGCAGCTCGGGCTCCCTGACATCTCCCTGTCCTGGGCCATGTCGTGCTTCAGGGCTTCTCTGTGTGGTGGGGTTTCTCCTGGCAGCCTGGTCCTAAAGGGGCACCTCTTTCACGGCAGCTGGCTTCCAGGAGGAAGAAACCAGAAGCTGCAGGGCTAATGAAGAGGCACTTTGTCACCTCGACCACAGTCTGCCGGTCAAGGCAACCCCAGGGCACACCCAAGTGCAGGGAGCAGGGAGGCCCTGTATCTTTAGGATCACTCCACGCTGCTGCCACGTATGTGACTGCTTCGCATTTTTGACTTGTTAAAACTTTATTCTCCTGCAAGCAACCATCACTATTATAATCCACCCCCCACCTGTGGAAGATACTCAGGTGGCCACCCGGTTCCCACCTCTACCAGTTGCATGACAATGGACATCTCATGCTTCCAGGGCTTTCAGGAATCATCAGATCATTAGACAGTCAGTGCTTAGTGGCTTTTCTGAGGTGTGTTCCCACCAGAGAACTTAAAAACTTCTCTATTTTGGCTTTCTAATTTTTGCCATAATAGGCAATAAAGTGATATCTCATGCTGTTTTTCTGATTTCTAGTGAGATGGGACATACATGTATGTCATTTTAAAAATGTCTGTGTTCTCCTCTGAAAATGCTCCTTATTAACTATTTTTCTATTGTCAGTTATTTATTGTTTATGTGGGTTTGCAGAAATTTAGACATTTATGAATATCATCTCATCCTGTTATCTGTCTCTTAACCTTATCTTTTATGTCTCTTTTAAAAGAAGTTCTTAATTCTCTTGTAATCAAATTTGCTAACTATTTTGTCTTAAGGTTTGTGCATTTGCAGTTTTTTCCATGCCATTGTTTACAAAGATAGTCTACTGTATTATTTCTTTAATTTCATGGTTTTACTTTAACATTTTTTAAGTGTCTTTATTCCATCTAGAACACACCATTACATTTGTTGTTACTTAAAAACCCAAATTTATATTTTTGATTAGTTAGCCAATCTCCCCCACACTAGTATCTCAACATTGCAGTGATTTGCGGTGTTATCTTTATCAAATATTAGGCTGGCATATATACATGGGTCTGTCTCTGAACGCTGTAGTGTCATTAGTCTACGTGTTCTCACAATATCATATAATTTTCTTTCTATACCTTTGAATTATTAATATTTGATGAGGTGCTTGGTCCTTTTACATTTTTAAAGGTTTATTTAGACATGCGGAGACTTTTATTCCCTGATTTATAGGCTAAACTGAACTTCCTGGATTCCTTTTAAAAAAAATCTATCTGAAATTCTAAATGAGATTTGCTTTTAATAGATAGATTAATTTGGAAAGAATTGTTCTCCTTTGGGTACCACTCATTCAAGGTCATGAAATGTCTTTCCATGATTTCAGCTTATCCTCTATGTTCTTTTTTTTTTTAATTTTTATTTATTTATGATAGTCACACACACACACACAGAGAGAGAGAGAGAGAGAGAGAGAGAGAGAGAGAGAGGCAGAGACACAGGCAGAGGGAGAAGCAGGCTCCATGCACCGGGAGCCCGACGTGGCATTCGATCCCGGGTCTCCAGGATCGCGCCCTGGGTCAAAGGCAGGCGCCAAACCGCTGCGCCCCCCAGGGATCCCTATCCTCTATGTTCTTAATTCAAGTTTTAAATTTTTCTCTATAGAGGTCTTATGAGATTTGTTGTTACAGCAGGAGGTATTATCTTTTCATTTTCTATTGTACTATTTGTGTAAAGAACTACTACTGATTTTTATAGACTAATCTTAGAGCTATCTAAAAATCTCTCATGTGCTCTAAAATATTGTCTATGGATCTTATTCCTAAGTATATCTCATATAAGTTATAATTATTGATAGGTATATATTTTGCCAATGACCTACATAATTCTTATTTATTTCTCTTTCCTTATTGCATTGGCTATAACTTCCAGTGCTTCTCTTCTTATCATCAATCATGAAGAGACTACATATAAAGTTTATCCAGCAAGTATAATGTTTACTCCAGATTTGGTTTTTTTTTTCTTCCTTCCTTTTTTCCCTTCTTCCTCCTTTTTTTCCTTTCCTTCTTTCTTGCTCTCCTGTTTTGCATATTTCATTAGAGTGACCATACATGCCAATTTCCCCAAGACAGTCCTATTTTTTTCTTTTTTACCTGGCATTTACCTAGGGTAGTACTAGTCCTAGACTAAAGTATCAAAATTTGTTAATTATATGGTTATTCTGCATAACCTTCACCAAGCTCAGAAAGTTCCCTTATAATCATAGTTTGCAAAAGTTTTATAATTAAGTGCTGAACTTTATCAACTGCCTTTTCTGTATGAATTGAGGTAATAATGTACTATTTATGTGGACAATTACATTGGTAAATTGTCTGATGTTAAACTATTCTTGAATTTCTGGAAAGAACCTTACTTTATTATGATATATTATTTTTAATACATATTAGATTAGATTGGATATCATTTTATTTAGAATTAATTTATAATTGAAAGGGAATTTTATTTTTAATTTCTTGCTCTTATCTGATTTTGTTTTTTGTTTTTTATATTTTTTATTGAAGTTTGATTTGCCAACATATAGCATAACACCCAGTGCTCATCCCAAGTGCCCCCCTCAGTGCCTATCACCCAGTTACCTCATCCCCCCACCCACCTCCCCTTCTACTACCCCTTATTCATTTCCCAGAGTTAGGTGTCTCTCATGTTTTGTCTCCCTCTCTGATATTTCTCACTCACTTTCTCTCCTTTCCCCTATAATCTCTTTCCCTATTTTTTATATTCCCCTTATGAATGAAGCCATATAATGATTGTCCTTCTCCGATTGACTTACTTCACTCAGCATAATACCCTCCAGTTCTATCCATGTTGAAGCAAATGGTGGGTATCTGTCGTTTTAATGGCTGAGGAATATTCCATTGTATACATAGACCACAGTTTCTTAGTTTCTTTATCCATTCATCTTTCGATGGACACGGAGGCTCTTTCCACAGTTTGGCTATTGTGGACATGGCTGCTATAAACATTGGGATGCAAGTGTCCCGGCATTTCACTGCATCTCTATCTTTGGGGTAAATCCCCAGCAGTGCAATTGCTGGGTCATACGGTTGCTCTAGTTTTAACTCTTTGAGGAACCTCCACACAGTTTTCCAGAGTGGCTGCACCAGTTCACATTCCCACCAACAGTGCAAGAGGGTTCCCTTTTCTCCGCATCCTCTCCAACATTTGTTGTTTCCTGCCTTATTAATTTTCCCCATTCTCACTGGTGTGAGGTGGTATCTCATTGTGGTTTTGATTTGTATTTCCCTGATGGCAAGTGATGAAGAGCATTTTCTCATGTGGGTGTTGGCCATGTCTATGTCTTCCTCTGTGAGATTTCTCTTCATGTCTTTTGCCCTTTTCATGATTGGATTGTTTGTTTCTTTGCTGTTGAGTTTAATAAGTTCTTTATAGATCTTGGATACTAGCCCTTTATCTGATAGGTCACTCGCAAATATCTCCTCCCATTCTGTAGGTTGTCTTTTAGTTTTGTTGACTGTTTCTTTTGCTGTGCAGAAGCTCTTATCTGATTTTGGAACCAAGATTACACCAAGTTTTCTAAATAAGCTCACAGCGTAGAATCTTATTCTTTCTTCTAGGACACTTTTATAAAAGAAAATTCAACAATTTTTTTTTTTTAATTTGGAAGGAGTCATCTATAAAACATCTGGCTCTGGATTTGAGCAAGGAAGGGGGCTTTGGTTGAGGTTTTACTTGTTTAGTAATTATTTGTAACCAAGTTATCTACTTCTTCATATAAAATTATAATGTTTCATATTTTTCTGGGAATGTATCCATTTTATCAAATTTCCAAATATATTTTGGTATAGCGATTTGTATTATTTTGTGATTACATTTTATGATTATCTTTATCATTATAAATTCAGTCTAAGTTGGGCTTATCGTATTTCCTCTTTTTATCCTACTCTTTGTGTTTTGGCATTTTCTTTTTCCCTCTTTTTCTTTTTCCTTAATTATTCTTGTTAGGGGTCAATCTAACTTACTAACTTAGTGAATCTTCTCTTTTGTTTTCTTTTAACTTATTTCTATCTTTATTTTTGTTAGTTCCTTATTTCTTGTTATTAAGAGTTTGCAGTATTGTACTTTTAAATTTTTTTTCTTGATTTGTTTGTTTAGGTCAGCATTTAAACACTCTTCTTACTACTGCCTCAGCAGTCAGTGCCCCACTTTCTACACACACATACTAGGTCAAACCAGCCTTCAGTTTATCCATGGATTTTTCACACTTCTTGTTTTTCATTTTATGTTGTTATCATTAGTGCCTGGAATGCCAATGTTTCCCTTGAGATGATTTTAAGAGAAGGAGTCAGCAGTCTGGGCTAATTCACCAACTTGGCAAGAATGAGAAACTAAGTTTCTAATGTTTATATTTAAGCTCAGAACCTAACATTTCTCAAAGAAGTTTCTCTCTCATTAATACAATCATCCACTCTGTCATGTAATATTTTAAAGACTCAAATAAATAGTAGAGCTATTTGTTCTACTTTCTATGGAAAGAACAACTTAAAAACTTATGTTTGTATAATGAAACCCAGATTATTCCTTATCAAATTCCATGTTTCCAATGCAGTACATAGGATATGTGGATAAACTGAAGTACTTTCTGAACCCCTGAATCTCTAAACACCACCCACTGCGTTAGTATTAGTGGTCTAAGTTCTTGGGTGTCTTTATCTCACTGTAATGAGATTCCTGAATAACCAAGATAACTGTAAAGTTATGTGAGCCTTGCCAAGAACAAGATTATAAAGTTGGTTTTTTTCCCTCCAATTTGCGCCATTGGCCTATAGAATATATACATCAAATGACAGAAAAGTATAAGTTAAGTAGAGCATTTTTTTCTGATTTCAATGGTAGAATTTATCGCGTACACCTATACATACATAAAGACCAAAATATAGATTGCGAATCAAAAAATAAAATATAATAAAAGGTATAGCTTTATTTTATATTATGGTTGGTTAAATAATAATACTTTATGTTTGAAGAAAGTTTGATGTAGTAAAAAAAATCTTATCTATATAAAAATACTTATTTGGTATTCCCAACACGTCTGAAGTTAGAAAATATAATTATGGTGCACATTTAAATTCAGAACCTACAAAAGCTAAATAACTTGCTTAACTTGACACAATAGAAATCTTTAGATCTGGGAGTAGAGCCTGCGTCTTATGGGGTTGTTTTTGTTTTTGCTTTCTGGCACTTGGTTTTTCTACCATGCCTCCAAATAATAAAAGCAAAGAGGAAAGCAATTCGAGTAGAGCCAGAAAAGAGGAGTTGAGAAAGATAAAAGGAGAAAAAAGAAAAGTATTTTATCTAAGGAATTTTCCCTAAATACATAGAGCTGTATTAAAATGTATTAAGATTATTTATCTATATCCAAATGTTCTCTGTGATCAAAAGTATGTACTTCTAGAGTGCTGCTGATGCCTGCAAAAACACAGCTTCATTACATGGACCTAAAAAAACTCATTCATGGGAGATACAGAGAGAGAGGCAGAGACACAAGCAGAGGGAGAAGCAGGCCCCCTGTAGGGAGCTTGATGCAGGACTTGATCCCAGGACCCCAGGGTCATGACCTGAGCCAAAGGCAGATGTTCAACCACTGAGCCACCAGGTGCCCCTGACATTATTTCTTGCTAGAAACTTATAAGGTAAATTGCTATTATTCATTTGACAAATGAGAAAACTATGGCTCATAGAAACTAAATAATTTTAAAATCTTGTAGTAGGTAAATATTAGATTGTAAGTTATAAAAAGAAATTATAACAAGTCAACTGGAAAACACCCCAGAGCCCACAGAATAGAAATAGTTATGCCATGAAATTCTAAAGACAGACACCACTGAACTGATGTTCTGCAGCTGTGAAGACAGATAAAATGAGATGTAGTATATTGCAATTGCATCTCCTTGGCTCAGGATGTGCCACACAAGTAAGAGTCAGACCGTCACGAACACAAACACATGTAAGAGTAACCACTTCAGGAATTATGAAAAAGGACACTTGGTTCTAAAAGGGTCTTCTACTTAGTAGTCTTGGGCTCTTATCTTGTTGATTGCCCTGAATCGTAAATATAAGAACATACCATCATTTCAGAGTAAGGCTCCCTAGGAAAAGGGGAAAGGTATAAATAATCCCCCATCTAAAGATGGCCTCTGGGACTTCCGCATGGATATCCAGAAACAAAACAAAAGCAAACAAAAAGTAAAGCCTTAACTATAATGAAACCTCAAACTTCAAGAGAAATGAGTTTAACAGAAACAATTATTTGCAAAATCATATTAACAACTCTAAGCTGCACAGTTATTAATGCATATTAGATCACATTTCTATGGGGTTCTTTTTTTCCCCCAAGGAGTATTTCCTATTGATTTCTGCTGGAACCCTCAAGTTGGCTGGGGTAAGGACTGGATGGAAAGAGGCACAAATGGGGAATATTCCAAGCCTAAAGGAGGAGTCAGAGCATGCCTGTGTGGGCTGGACCTACAGAAAGTCCCATCAGAAAGAGGGGACTTTTGAAGACTTGCAAATTATACTCTACTTTTATTGTTTGAAAATGCTGACAACTTTCCCAAGTAATATTAATATATTTAAACATTTGCTTGAGGCAAACTGGAGCTTTGTTATGTTTTACTTATATTGAGTTGAAATAATCTAATCTATTTGAGTGTAGAAATGCCACCTCCCTCCTTGAGACTCCAGAATGGTATCAAAACGCAAAACATAGATACGATACTTGAGGGAATGGTGAAATGATGTTGCAAAGAAAGACATTGTTAATGATTTCTATAACTATTTAAATTATGATGATTTATATCATAAGCTCTGGAGAGTGTAGAAATCTTTACTTTCATTAAAAGATAAACTATAAGTTCCAGTTATAAAGTAAACAAGTCCTAGGGTATAATGGATAGGATGGTGACTATAGTTAATAACACCGTGTTTTATATTTGAAGGTTGCTAAGAAAGTAGACCTTAAAAGTTCTCATCACGGGGAAAAAAAATAGTAACTATGTGTGGTGACAGATATTAACTAAATTTACCGTGTAATCATTTTGCAACATTTATATACACGTATTAAATATTATGCTGTATACCTAAAACTATGTTATATGTTAGCTGTATATCGATATTAAGATAATCCATGACAATTTATATGCTTATAAAGAGTGTCCTGATACCTAAATATAATTCATTATCAGCCCATGGACCTTTATAACAAAGAAACAGAATGAAAAAGACTAAAAGTCAAAATGCCATACATTAATCAATGAATCATTTCAAACTTGTCTACATATCCATAAATTAAAAAACACAGCAAAACTGCATATAAAATGAGATCTTAGTTCCAAAGCTAATTAAATTATATTAGAAGATGAACTTGATCATATCTAAATTACCTTCTATCTCTATGGTTATATAATTGAGATTCTTTCAACTTACCTAAGTATTTTGGATAAAAATAATCCTAGAAAGAAAGAAAAGAAAAAATATATCTTAGCAAGCCTAAATTTCACTATATAGTTAAAACTTAATTTTATTATGTGTTTTATATTAAATATGCAAATATATTACATCTAACTATCATTTCCATATTACATTTCTGCTATATAGTAAAATATGCAAGTAGATAACTAATAACATTAAGCCAATAAGACACTTAGCTTAAATAAATATAGAGCAATAAAATCATGTTACATAAGCTTCTAAACTGAAAACAGGTTCTACTGAAGATGTTACATGTAACATGCGCTTTCTGTTTGTAAATCTTAATTTTTCCATAATGATCACATACTCATTTGACACATTTCCTGTCATGCTGAATACATATGCCAGATTTAATGTTGAATAACAGTGATATAATTTGAAATGAATTAAAGTGAACATTCATCTTTTAGCATCTCATGTACATGTAATACCTTATTTATAAATTGGCTGTGTACCAAAAGTCTGTCTGTAAATCAGTAATTTGGACTAAGAAATGTACTTTACCAAAGGGAGAAAAATGTTAAAAATGATTTCTCAAGGTAAGGTTCATAGGCTGGCTCCCCAAAGCCTCTTACGCCATAACGTATCTAACGTGTAACATTAATGGCACAAGGACATCTCATGAGAAACCAACATTTCTACACAAAAACATACACAAGTAAGGAATGTACCTCATCCAGGACAGAGCCAACGTCTTCACTCTTGCTTCTCCCACATATAAACCTACACAACACTTGTCTATAGTTCATAGGGATGTTATATGGATGGGATCTCCTACCAAGTAATTCTACCATGGTGTTTTCTTCTACAGAACAAGAGCCCGGAGGATAGGCAACAATGAATGGGTTCAAAAGGAGATGATGTGAGCGTGAAAAGAAGATATTAGGGACAGCGGGCAGGTGAGCAACAGGATGGAGACTGGGAGTGTGGACTAGGGTATTAGGGATGTGGACAAGGAGAGGCTGGGGCAGGATGGAAAATGAGAAGCAGTCACAAATGTATTTTTTTCCTTGTCTTTCATTTCTCTCATTTTTTCCTTTATTCTCTCTGTCACCTTTCTCTTGTATATGAGACCAATATAAGAAGGTGGAGGGGAAGAAGCACATAAATGAGCTCCCCTTTACTAGTTTCCATCCTCTCCACTGTGGTCTTCTACCTCACTCTCCATTTGCTATTCAGAGGCTGAGCTACAAGAACATATCTACAGTGTTAGAAATATATGCTAGAGTATTTATGGGTGATGTAATAATATGATATCTCAGGGATGCAGGCTTGCCTTAAGTGATCTAGCAAAACAAAACAAAAATTAGACTGGGTGGGGTAGAGACTAAGCAAAACAAGAATGGCTGATTGCTGATCATTGTTGAAATCTGGGGAGGTATATGGGGGTTTATTATATTATTCTGACTACTAGGGTATATATGTATTTAAGGTTTTATGCTATATATATTATATATAATATATATCCTACCCAATAAAAGTACTAATCTGCTATATGGTATGAAATAAAATATTTTGTCTTCTCAATCACTGATCCACAAAAAGCAATGAAACGGAGAGAGAAACATTTGGCTCAATCCTGAAGAGTAGTAAAAATGATTCTGCGGGTACCTTAGAAAAATGTTCTTTGAACCTATCAAAGTAGGTAGAGTTAAAAGGCTTAAAGAGGAACTCTGGAGGACACAAGTTGTTACTGTCTTGGACAAGTTCTCTACCTATAGAAAATGTTCCTGCCCATTATCTCTCATCTAGTCTCGTGGTCCCAGGAGCCACAGCTGAGCTAAAGGAGGTACTTTGTATGTGTTTTCTCCCTCATTTCCTTTGGGCTACATAGTTCATCTCAGGGAAAATATCTGATGTAAACCTGATGGTTATCAGACTTGAATTCTCAAGGTCATCTCCATCCTAATTTTTAGAAGCACTGTTTATAATCCTAGTTTCCACAGGGCATATTAGAAAACATCCTTCCCTCGAAAATCAAGGAACTAAAGATATGGTCGGGGGGTCCCATATTTCTGTATGATGTTTAGTGATCTTTATGATGAAATTCTTCTACACTAACTTGGGAAAATTTATACACTGAATATATAAATTCTAACCCCAGGGATTATTGATCATATTAAGTCGGCTCACGAAACTTCCCAAGGCTTTATGGAAGTTACACTTAGGGAATGCAGTACTGTAACGAATTCTTCAGTAAGCATTCACTGAGTACCTATGATGTACCAAGTTCTGGATTAAATATCCTTGTTTTCTAAAACCTGGTTAAAAATGCCAATGGAGAGATGTAATGAAGTATAGTGATAATGTAGACACACACACACACATTATACTTGAGGTATCTTCCTCTCCACCTACCCAATACTACCATTTTCTGGTTGGGAAAAAGTATTTACAAACCATGAGGTCAAGACCACTTGTTTCTAATGCAGTATAACTGAATGATAGTTTGGTCAGAGCACACAGCTTTGGCAATGGTGTCTTCCGAACAAGCCCACTTTCCTCTGAAGTCACTTTCTTCTGAAATGCTTCAGTGGTTACACGCGGAAGGTCATATACACAATCATTAACTTGAAAAAGGAACCCAAGGAACATGGACTCAAGCTGGAAATGTTCAGTCTTTAATTGTATGTCTAGGTATGCTAACTTATTAGATTTCATATATTCTTACCGTTTCAGGGTCATTTTCAAAGATCTCTCTGGCTTCTTCTTTATTGCACAATTCTTCAATGCATTCTCTTTCAAGGTTACCTTTTTTGGTTTCTTCAAACATAGAATTTGCACGGCGTTTCCTAACCAGGACCTGAGAAGCATGCTCCTTTGACAAAACTGAGGGAAAAAATAAGTTTTTATGAGTAATCCTTTCATTTCTCCACCTAAAATATGGTATTGTATTAAACAGTGAGAATTAAAATCATTGTCTGATTGTGAACCACATAAAGTTTAAAATCAGTATAGGTGACCTGAGAAGAAAAATATGCAGATACATAAGCAGCTGGATTAACAACTCAAAGAGCAGGTTCGGTGTGCAAGCTCCAGCACTTGTATAATAACCTATATGAATCACTGAAGTTCATGCATGAGGCCAAACACATCATTCAATTTTTAATGTTTACCTTATTATGACTACACTTGGAAAAAGCATCATGCTGAAATGCCTCCATATCAAAAGTTACAGTCACACATCTTTAAAGCGAGAGTCATAAGTTTTCTCAGTTTTAATGGAAAACCACATGACCTCTGTAAAGATAGAGAAATGTGGGAGTACAGTCTAATCAGCTATTTAAAAGGTACTCAGTGGGCTAAAACATTTGATTTATTCATACACACAGGAAAATAAAATCTTTGGAACAAGGAAAATCATGTGCAAAACACAAAATACAGAAGGCAAAGAGAAAAAAATTGGTAATATCGACTGCATAATGGCTAAACAACAACAAAAATAACATAAAGTTCAACATCAAGTGACAGATTGGAAGAAAATATTTCATGATATAGAAAAGAAAAATTACATCCTGAATGCATAAACAACATTTGCAAATTAAAACAACAGCAACCACAATAATAAACCAAGGAATAATAAGAATGTGTGCAAGAGGGATCCCTGGGTGGCGCAGCGGTTTGGCGCCTGCCTTTGGCCCAGGGCGCGATCCTGGAGACCCAGGATTGAGTCCCACGTCGGGCTCCCGGTGCATGGAGCCTGCTTCTCCCTCTGCCTGTGTCTCTGCGCCCCTCTCTCTCTCTCTCTCTGACTATCATAAATAAATTTAAAAAAAAAAAAAGAATGTGTGCAAGATTAAATACAAAATAATATAAAGAAAAACTATAATCAAAATCATATAAATATCACTAAAGAAGAAAATAAAAATGTCCAATAAACGTGAAAAGATGTTCTCTAAAAATTTTTTAACTGGATTTTTGCGCATTAGATTTGCACAAATTTAAAAGACTAATGCCATCAAATATTGGTGAGGGCAAGGGGAAACAAGTATTCTTGTATATCAATGGTGGGAATAGACACTGGTAAGCGTTACCTTAAGGTAATCTGCTAGTACCTAAGAATTTAAAGCACACATACTCTCCACCTTAATATTCTGCTTCTAAGGATGCCCTACAGATATGTACATGTACTGGAAAAGGTGTATATGGAATGTTTGTTGATAAACTGTTATATCAAAAAATTAGGAACAATATAAAGAATTCTCAAGAAAAGAATGAAAAAATAAGCTATAATAAATCTGTACTGAGGAATGATATGCAGCTATCAAAGAGAAGGAAGTTACTCTTGTGCTGAAGATCTTCAAGATATATTATTAAATTAAAAATGAAAGTAGTGGGATGCCATGCCCATAGCATCACCCTATGAATATCAGTCGTACTTGTAGATATGTAAATATCATGCGGACAAATACGTAGAAAAGAGTTTTGGAACACTCAAACTACTGATTGCAATTATGTTTGAAGATAAGAATGGACAGTATGGGGCTTTGGCTTTATTGTTTTAGTACGTAAACATAACACTAGGTTTTAATGAAAACTTTTAAAAGCAAAAATGAAATCTACAAATAATTTTTTAATACTGATTTTTAAAAAAAGATTTTATTTATTCATGAGAGACAGAGAGAGAGAAAAGACAGAGACACAGGCAGAGGGAGAAGCAGGCGCCATGCGGGAAGCCTGACGTGGGACTCGATCCCGGGTCTCCAGGTCACGCCCTGCCTGGGCCGAAGGCGGCGCTAAACCGCTGAGCCACCCGGGCTCCCCTTTAATACTGATTTTAACCACAATAGTTCTTTCATTAAGATGAGCAAGTAAACAGATAAATTTGTTTTTCTCTTTTTTATCTTATCACCTGGTGAATAACGAACGCACAGAAGATGACAATAGAAGGAAGAAAAAGAAAGGCAGCAGAAGGACTAATTAGTCAACAGTCACCATAATTATCATCTGTTGAATAATTGAACACGTTTCAAGAGTGAAGTAAATAATGTTATTTTAATGCTCCTACTTGGCCTCTATTATTTCACAGAAGATGAGACTCACATAAAGAGCGTGCAAGACGCCTGCCCCAAGTTATAATAAACAGCAAAATTAGGACTTAGATCCCAATGTTCAGACCTGAGACTACCCATTATATCCGCTGCGTCTCAGAAAACAGGCAGAGGTTTCTTTTTCTCCACTGATTAGAGGAATAATCAAAAGGAAAATTGTTCCACCTCTGCCCTAAAGGATAACGATGTTAACCATAAAAAACTAGTCTAAATTTGAACGCTTCCATTTTATTTCCCCTAGTTTCAAACAAATAGTAGTGTTTGAAACTGGCATGGTACTTAATGATTTTCCATGTGTATATGACGTCATTTGATCATCCCATCAGCAATGCCATCCTCCAGAGGACACAGTTCTCACCCCACGGGCTTTGAGTTGCGCGAGGGAAAGAGGCTGAAGGAGGGGACGCGGCCCAGGCCCGGGCTGGGCGGCGCCAGCGGGACCCGGGTGGACTGGGGAGGCCAACAGCCGCCCTGGCTTGTGGTCTGCTCACGTATAAAATGGGGAAATCGCCTACTTAGAACAGGTGTGGGGAGTATTAAAGGAGACGATGCAAAAACGGCGCGTCCACGCGTGCAGCCGCCACCATCACGGAAAATAGCGAAGTGGCCGAGAGGCTGGTGCAGGGCGGCGCCGGGCTCCGGGCTCAGGCTCCAGGCTTCGGGCTCCAGGCTCAGGCTCCGGGCTCGGGCTCCAGGCTCGGGCTCCAGGCTCGGGCTCCAGGCTCCGGGCTCAGGCTCCGGGCTCGGGCTCCAGGCTCGGGCTCCAGGCTCCGGGCTCAGGCTCCGGGCTCGGGCTCCAGGCTCGGGCTCCAGGCTCCAGGCTCGGGGCTCGGGGCTCAGACTCCAGGCTGTAGGCTCCAGGCTCAGGCTCCGGGCTCAGGCTCTGGGCTCGGGCTCCAGGCTCCAGGCTCGGGGCTCGGGGCTCAGGCTCCAGGCTGTAGGCTCCGGGCTCAGGCTCCAGGCTCCAGGCTTCGGGCTCCGGACTCAGGCTCCGGGCTCGGGCTCCAGGCTCTGGGCTCTGGGCTCAGGCTCCGGGCTCGGGCTCCAGGCTCCAGGCTCTGGGCTCGGGGCTCAGGCTCCGGGCTCGGGCTCCAGGCTCCGGCTCCAGGCTCCAGGCTCTGGGCTCAGGCTCCGGCTCCAGGCTCCGGCTCCGGGCTCCAGGCTCCGGGCTCCGGGCTCAGGCTCCAGGCTCTGGGCTCTGGGCTCGGCTCGGGCTCCAGGCTGTAGGCTCCGGGCTCAGGCTCCAGGCTCAGGCTCCGGGCTCGGGGCTCAGGCTCGGGGCTCGGGCTCCAGGCTCCGGGCTCCGGGCTCCGGGCTCCGGGCTCAGGCTCCGGGCTCGGGCTCCAGGTTCCGGGCTCCGGGCTCCGCGCGGCGGCACGAGCTCCGGGCCTGCAGAACACCCTGGCTGTCCTCAGAAAATAAGCCCACCCACTTACAAGCTGCTCTCGGAGGAGCCTACCACTCCTGGTCAAAAAAAAATATTTAAACCTGACAGCACAGACCCGGATTGAGAACTACAGAGCCGGAGGACGACCACAGTGTGTGGGTCAGGGTGCTTGTACGCACCGGCCTCCAAAACGTGTTCTCCGTTTGCATCACTGTCCCTCGTGACTTCTCTCTCTTCTCTGTATTAAGAAGTGCTCAAGAAAGTCCGTGTTAAAACCCAACCGAGTATGTTGCTCGAAAAGTATTACCTTCGGATTCGAATTTTTAGGTTATAATGATCATAAGTCTTTCAGGTTAGAAAAATGACTGAACTATCTACATTTTTAACTTCTCTAATTCCTCCCTCTTCAAAACAGTGACCGTAGCAGGTTGAACAATTCTGTCTATAACACAACTGTTGTTCAAACCTTAACTGGAATTCTTTTTTGAAATTGTCTTAACAGCCTCCATATCTTTTCTGCAGGGGCAAATCTTTGTTTTCTGGGCATAAAATCTGATTCTCTTATCCTCAAAAAAGGAACTTACTGTTATTGGTACTTGATAAAAGGCACCTGTAATAAAGACAGTGGGGTTAGCACTGCGTCTGGTCAGAGGAGAACTTCCCAGTGTTCAGTCGGGTCAGTCCCACCCCACGAGGGAGGTAGTTTCCTGAGCCCCCTCTCCCAACTTAAGTGTTCACACTTGCTACTGTTCAGGGGGTGGTTACGACCACTGATCTTGGGCAGGTTGCCCAAAACCGATGAGTGAGGTGAAGGTGAGGTTGCCAATGAAAGAGATCTAAGGCTTTGGACGGCCCGTCCCTCAAACCTTTTCCATTCTGCTCTCTTGTTCTTTGCCAAGATGGTTCTCACATTCCTCCTTCCAAAGCTCATCTCTTTTTCAGTTATGCTTTCTGACTCTCCTTTCCCCGGCCCTACTTGTCTGGCATCCCAAGAATGAAGAACTACCCCTAAAAAAATGTGTCTGAGAAGAAAATCTCTGGCTAGCATTTGGGTTGGCAGTGTTTGAATCTTTGTTTCTGCTTCAGTGTGGGACGAAGCAGGGGAAAATTGTTTTCAATGTACAAATAGAACAACTAGATAATACTCTGAGACATAACTGCTTCACGTGTGCCAACTGTTGAAATGGCATGTTTTCTTTAGTCAAAGCCTGAGAAAAATAAAACTGCACATAATATAGAAAAAAACATTGATTAATAGTGATGGGAAAGCATGTGTCCAGATATTACCAATTTTGTTTAAAATAATCACATAGTAAACAAATGTGAAATCTTTCCTTTTTTTCTATAAAGATTTCAGCCATGGAAGATTTCTGAGGAGGGATATTTAAATA